AGCATTTCCGAAGCGTTCTCGCAAGCACTTAAGAAGGTAAGCGTCCATTGAGAACCAATCAGCTGTCCAGCATAACTGACACATTTATCGTAATAGTATGAGGATGCCAACCCCGATGGACTGCTCAGGGATAAGAAGAAGAGCATTGAGGGTGTTATCACCAAGAAGTCATTCAACACTCTGATGAACATGAAGTACATGAAGTCGGTTGTGGACCCTGGTGAGGCCGTTGGTATTGTGGCCGGTCAGTCTATTGGTGAACCTTCCACTCAGATGACTCTGAACACCTTCCACTTGGCTGGTCACTCCGCGAAGAACGTCACGCTGGGTATTCCCCGTCTTCGTGAAATTGTCATGACAGCTAGCGCCCACATCATGACCCCTACCATGACCCTTTATCTGAACGAAGAGCTCTCTAAGGAGCACTCTGAGAGATTCGCCAAGGCTATCAGCAAGCTCAGCATTGCAGAGGTTGTTGACAAGGTCCAGATCAAGGAGAGAGTTTCTTCCGGCAGCATGAAGGCCAAGATCTACGACATCGAGATCGCGTTCTTCCCCCCTGATGAGTACACCGCCGAGTATGCTATCACGACCAAGGATGTGCAAAACGCTCTGCAGAATAAGTTCATCCCGAGACTCGTGAAGCTTACCAAGGCCGAGCTCAAGAAGCGTAATGACGAGAAGACGTTGAAGAAGTTCTCGACCGCTCAGCCAGAGATTGGTGTCTCCGTTGGTACGGTCCAGGATGCCCCCAGCGGTCGGGATGCCGAAGAAGAGCCCATGGATGACGATGTCGAAGACGATGAGGACGACGCCAAGCGGTCCCGCGGCAACCAGAACCGCAACAACCAGGTCTCCTACGAAGGCCCGGAGGATGAAGAGGAGAGCATGGTGCGCCAGCAAGATGCCATGGACGAGGACGAGGATGACGAGGGTGCCAACACGCGCCAGAAGCGTGATGTCGAGATGGATGACGCCTCCGACTCCGAATCCGAGGAGCAAGGCAAGGACGCCAAGCTGCGTGAGGAGGACATTAAGAACAAGTACGGCGAGGTCACTCAATTCAAGTTCAACCCCAAGAAGGGCGGATCCTGCACCATCCAGCTGCAGTACGACATTGACACCCCCAAGCTTCTGCTCTTGCCTCTGGTCGAAGACGCCGCCCGCACTGCGGTCATCCAGTCCATCCCCGGCCTGGGCAACTGCACGTTCGTCGCGGCGGATCCCGTCAAGGGCGAGCCCGCCTATGTCATCACGGAAGGTGTCAACCTGCTCGCCATGCGCGACTACCAGGACATCATCAAGCCCCACTCCCTCTACACCAACTCGATTCACCACATGCTCACCCTCTACGGCGTGGAGGCCGCGCGTGCCGCCATCGTCAAGGAAATGTCCGACGTCTTCGAGGGTCACAGCATCTCCGTCGACAACCGCCATCTGAACCTGATCGGTGACGTGATGACCCAGTCCGGTGGCTTCCGTCCCTTCAACCGCAACGGTCTGGTGAAGGACAGCTCCTCGCCCCTGGCCAAGATGAGTTTCGAGACGACCGTCGGCTACCTCAAGGAGGCGGTGGTCGAGAGAGACTTCGACAACCTCAAGAGTCCCAGTGCCCGCATCGTTGTCGGTCGTACCGGCATCGTGGGTACGGGTGCGTTCGATGTCCTTGCCCCCGTGGCATAGACCAACACCTCCTCGCCCCTCGCACCTCGCACTGTGTATGCATTTAGTCTCGTTGTATATGCTTGCCTATCTGATTTTGCATGTAACTCTACGCACTTTCTTTCTGTCTTCCCATTTCGTCGTGTCTATGACGTGTCCAACGATTTCTGTGGAGTTGTCTTTCAGCGGAATAAGAAAAAGTCCTTCTTATTAGTTCCTTAAGATATAGCATTCAATAAAGAGTATGAACCTTTTTTGACCTGAACAACAAACAAGAAAACTCAGCAAATACGTTTTAGATTTCTTTTCTTTGAGTAAGTAGCTGCGCTGTAATGTACTGTACATATTATCAACCCTTTCCAACACCGAACCATCCGTGGTATCATGCAATCTATGCAAGCATTGTTTCCCCCTTGACCGTGATAAAAGCAAGAGGTAAACAAAATGGGTAAAACAAGTCAAGGTTGTAAAGGTGGGCGGGAAAAAGGAAACCCAATGGACGCGCCTGCAGGTCACTGAGCATCCAACATCATTAGATCTTCATCAATGTCATCGTCGAACTCATCGTCCGGCGGGGCCGCGGCACCGCCGCCGCCGCCGCCACCATAATAAGCACCAGCACCATTGGCGGCCCGTGCATTGGCGAGCTCTTCTTCCCGCCGCAACCTCTCTTCCTCGAGCATCTGCTTCTCGCGATGCTTCTCCAAGTCCGCCAGGCTCCACGTGGAGATGCCCTCCTGGTCGCGCGCCTTGAACGGCTGGGCCATGGTGCGCAGGAAGTTCTTGGCGGTGGCCACGGCCATGTCGGTGCTGAGGTTGGTCTCGCTCTCGAGCATGGCCTGGCTGATCCACTTGGGGAGCTGGTTGCGCTTCTTCTGGAAGCGCCGGTCCGCCAGGACCATGACCCCGTAGTCGTCCTTGCCGCGGAGCACGCGGCCCAGGCACTGGGCGGCGTGCCGCATGGCGTCGAAGGAGAGGAAGTCGTTCTCGCGGATGCGGTAGTTCTCGCGGAGGAACTCGAGGCGGGCCTTCAGAATGCGGGATTCGGTGTACTGGAAGGGCACGCCGATGTTGATCACCGCGCGGCCGTAGTGGTGGTCGAAATCGATGCCCTCGGAGACCTTGCCGCGCGCGACGCAGAAGAGGAGCGCCCCACGGCCGTTGCAGCACGCCGTGCGGTAGGTTTCCAGCGCCAGTGAGGACTCCTGCGCGTCCGGGGTCTCGACGAGGATCAGCTTGTAGTTCCAGATGGAATCCAGGATGCCCATGCCCTGCCACATGCTGATGATGGATTCCATGTAGAGGTAGGACGGGAAGAAGACGACGATTCCGTCGGGGGTGATGCGGGAGAACTCCAGGACCATGTTGCCGTAGTTGCGCACGACGCCGGGGTCGTTACGGATCTGGAACGAAGAGGAAATCTGGGCTTGGTCGGATCCGCGCGTGACGATCATGGGCAGGAAGGATCGGCGGGCAAGGGTCATGCTGTATGATTCTTGGAGAACGGTTTCGAAGCCTAGCATCTTAGGGTACATTTCAAGGGGTGACAGGGTGCCCGATGTGATGATGACGGAGCTGAATCGGTCGAAGACAGGTTTGATCGCTATCGCAGCATCTAAACAGGTAAAATGCAGCACCGGGTTGGGTACTGTAGCTGCCTCCGACTCGAATGGCTCTAAGATCAACAAAAAGCCCTTTTCGTATGTGGCAACTAAGGTTGCAAAGGTTGCAACCTCTTGCAGCGGTTGGTAGTCCTCTATGTTGATGAGTTCGAGTGTGCGCACGAGTGACGTCAAACGCTCAGCGCAGAATCGTAATGGCTTTCGCTCGATGTATGTGAGATCCTTGACGTGCGTCAAGAATGATAATGGTGTTTCGGAGATAGTGTGTGTGACCTTCATTCGGGTCTTCAGGTATTCAATGAACCGTTTGAGGAAGGTGACGAAGTGTTCGGCGCGACGGATATTTCCTGGTACAGCTTCCTTGAGCAAGTCATCTGGAAGGACTGGATTTGAGATGAATTGATCCTCCTCTCTAGCTTGCTCGGCCTCTCGAAGGCCTTCAACCAGCTTGGTATATTCGTTTTGGAGCTTCTCAGCATCCGAGCTCTTCATCTCGCTGATTTTGCGTTCGAGGTTGTTCGCACCGCGTGTGGCCTTCCGCAACGAATCCTCAGTCAAGTCGATACTCAGAGATTCAATACAGACGTTGTCGATGTTATGCGCCTCGTCGAAGACAACTATACAGTCCTTGGATAGCTCTTTCGACACTCTTTCGGCGATCTTCGGATCGAGGAGGTAGTGGTAGGAATAGATAATGACGTTACAGAAAGGCATCTATGGGGGAGGCGGGCAACATTAGCATAGAATTCACCCTACCAGATACTGTGAGAACATACCATGCGACGGGCCGAGAAGTATGGGCATTGCTTGTGTTCTTCGCCATATCTACTTAACCCATCAAGGGTGAAGACACCCGGAGGTACGAGGTTGTGCGGTTCGAGAAGGTCAAGGTTCTGTAGAGCGTCAGCTAATCGTCACGAACCTGTGAGAAACTCTCCATACCTCATGGTAAACGCACAACTCAACATCTTCGCCCCGCTCCTTCTTTTCCTTCACGAATCCCGCAGTTAAACTCCGACATCTTGCGTCGACCACTGTACCACTCTTTTCTCGTTTGACCGACGGATGAAGACACAGATTCTTTCGACTGGTTAGCCCGAGCGCGCGGAAATCTTCAGTGTATCCCAGCTCCTTGGCGCGGAAACTCATCAAGGCCTTCAGCTCGGCCAGCGCCTTCTCGATCTCGGACATCGTTCGAGAGCAGTAGATGAGCTTCCTATGCTCGGGATAATGCTGCTGATATGCTACGATCAACGACAGCAGCGAGACAGTCTTTCCGGTACCCGAAGGCATCTCCAAGACGCAGTGACCCCCGGCATCGAGGGTCTTCTTGAGATCGCACATGTAGGCATATTGTTCGGGATAGATGCGAGGATAAGGGAAGAGCACGGGGAGATCACTAGACGCCGGATGAGATTAGAAGCCTGTTTCTGCTGCATACGCTGAGCGGGGGAAGGCAGGAATGCCAGTGAGACTTACTCAATGAAGAACTTCATTGTGACGGGATGAGCGCGGTGCTCGCGACGAGGAAGAGGAAGCTGACCAGAGCTCTTTTCTCCGTCGCTTCTATCTTTTTGCCTCTTCTTCTAGACCGCGCCGGCTTTTGCCCGATCGGGGGATCGATGACACCAGGTCACGTGAAATGCCCGATAGGGACGCCGATAATGGAGTCCATGCCGCCGGATTTGAGATGAAGACAATTACAACTAACTTACAGCCCGATCGATGGGTTATTTTGGAGTGAAGGACTGTCCGGCGTGAACTACTCTCTGTTTGTACCCAGCGGACTGGACCGAATCACCCTGGAGTGCACCTGCTGGCCAATATCTCGAGTCAATCACCTTCCAGCAACCGATTTCGTCATTTTCTCTACACCCCGCCATCCCCCACTTTACTATGAGCAGCAAAAAGTACAAGTCTCAGGCCTCAAGCAGCCGGGCTGCTGCTAGCACATTTGGCTCATTTGGAGGATTCTCCAGCGCATTCTCCAGTCAGGGAAGGGAACCATCATCGCTTACATACGTTACAGAGCCTCCGGATCTATCCCGCATATCGGAGGCGCAGTTGACAATCGCATTCAAGAACTTCCTCAAGAAGGATGAGGTTACCCGCACAAAGGCTCTGGACGACTTGCGCGACCACGTTTTGGCTGTCGAGAGTCGCAATGGGACCCTTGATGATGGGTTCCTGGAAGCTTGGGTAGGTTTACATTGACTTCTCACGCCGCACTAGAGCAATCGGTTGATCGTGGTTCGGTATCTCGGCAGGTCAGGATCTACCCACGCGCCTCGATAGATCTTTCTCGGAGGGTGAGACAAACAGCGCACTCGACCCAGGGATCTATTGCGTCTCTTGTCGGAAAGCGCATTGCTCGCTTCTTGCCCAAGGTCATTGGAGCATGGCTTGCGGGACTTTACGACAACGATCGGCCAGTCCATCGCGCTGCGCTGGAATCATTCACGCGCGTATTCTCGACCGACGAGAAGAGGAACGGTGTATGGAAAGTCTACCAGTCCTCCATTCTGGATTTCGTAGATGATGTCATTCTCCAACAGACCCCTCAAACGTTGAGCGATGAGAGGACTGTGAAGGCAGATGACGCCACAGCCAAATATGCACGAGTGGCTGGAACTGCCCTCTTGCTGTTCAACAGGATACTCGGTATGAATGTTCTTTTGTGGTTTGCCCACACTTCATCTGACGAGCTTCAATGCAGGAAACTCCGCACAAGAGGACCTTCAGAAGGCAACACCCACGATGGAGACACTTCTAGGAAGTAAGTCCCTGTGGACTCTATCGTATCATGAAGATGCTTTCGTGCGCCGGTCACTCTATGTTCTTGCGCGCACTGCAGTCTCCAAGCAGCCGGAGGAACTGGATTGGAAACTCATCAGTGCTGCTCTGATTGGCAAGTCCCTGCACTGTAGCCAATTGGGCTCCGCATCGGAACTCTCCGAGACTATCCTGCATGTGACCTCCGCAAGGCCTCAATTGTGGACTGAAGATTACTCCGGAAAGTCCTCGTCTTCCAAGAGATTACTTCAGTATCTGCAGAAAGGTTCTCAGGGTGGCGCAAGCTCCTTCTGGACCAATTTTTACGAGCTGCTGCAGATCATTCCAATCAAGACTCTTGCACAGGTTGATTTGAAATCAACCGATGAGAACAATGTCGGAGTGACGAGTGCCCGTGCTCTCACAGAGTCGTTCCAAGAGGGACTAAACTCCAGAGACGAGCCTCGGCAAAACCGAGCTGTTGGCTGGAAAGCTTACATCGATACTGTTATGTGGCTTGCAGGTCGGCTTGGTCAGGATGAGGGAACGAACTTATTGCGCGAAAGGCTCCGACCTTTGATTGTACAATATGTGAAACCCGAGTCAGACCAGGCTCAATGGGGTCTACCTCCTCAGTCAGCAGAGCCTATCTGCACAGATGCCCTTTTTGCGCTGACCACGCTAGGCTACAAGCATGTATTGGAGCAAACGTGGAGAGAACTGTCAGACAGCTTGCTAGAAGCTGTCAAGTTGTCTTCCCCGGAACAATCGAAGGACTTTAAAACCTCCCAGGACGCTGTCTGCGCGCAAGCAGAGCGTTTTCTTGCTTTGGAAGCCTCTTTACTTTCTCGAGTAAAAGATACAGACCATGAAGCCGAGGTTTCGGATGTGTTCAATGCTACTAGCCTTTCGTTGCTTGATAGCTGTCTGGAGGTTTTGCGCTCGAGGAATGGCAAGCCGTATGGAGCGGCTGCTGTTGTCGAACAAACAGTACTTCAGGTTGCGCCGATTGCCAAAGCCTCGCAGTCACTGTTGAGCTTTGTCCAGGATGACGCACCGGAGCTCCTATCTTCGCCTTCCGCCGACAGGCTCATCTCGATCATCCTGTCCTGCCGATCCTGGGATGGGTTTGGCCCCAGCTTCGAGAAAGTTTTGGAGAGAGTTGCCCAGTTCGACCCGGAGACTTCGAACGCTCACACTGTACAAAAGCTACTTTCCACCCTCGATTTCCAAGAATTGGACGAAAAGAGTGCTCTCATTTCTCTGATCATGCGAGCCCTTGATAGGGCCTGCAATGGGAGTGATTTACACTGGTCAATTGTGATCGCAGTGCTTCAGAACGAAACCTCCCACGGAGGACTGTCAGACACGATCTTCCTAGTAATCATCGATGCCTTGTCTGATGATACCAAGGTTTTCGACACCTTGCATGGTCTCTCTCAAGTCGCGCGGGCTGTTCCCCTGGCATTCAAAACTTTCCAGAATGGGCCCCACGGCTCCAAACTAACTGGAAAGCTACTTTTCCTTTCTGAGTCTTCATCAGAAGATGTTTCAAGCGTAGCAGAATCGTTGGCCAAGACCTTGAAGGAGTCGATCGTCAGCGAGACGAGTGCGAACAAATCGAGCTTTGAGATTCTACAGCACAGTTTTGACAATGTCAATGACCAATCGCTATCGTGAGTGTTAACCGAGAAAGAGACTAAAGGACGATCGGAATTAACTGTATCTAGGGTTGAGTCACTTGTAACTATCGCCGAAGAACTGCTGCACAATGCCAAGGCAGAAGAGGTTGGGAAGGTTGCAAAGGATATTCTGCCCTCTCGCGAGTCCTGGGCGAAAGCTTTGGGTCCATTCCTCGAACTCCCTCCAAGACCTTCAACTGCCATCACAAGCCCACTCAGTGGTACTGTGCATTTAATCAATCGTGATTTGTCGGACACACTACAGCAACGTTATGAAAGTCTCCCTCGGGATTCAAACAACTCCTCCTCAGCATTCCGATTGGCCTATTTCACTGTCAGAATCCTTTCTTCTTTCGGTTTAATCCAAAACCTGGACAAGGCTGAGGTGGAGACATTGTTCTACAACATCCCTCTAGCACTGCAGCTCATTGATGATGATTTGAGTATCGAAAACTGTAATGGCATCAGCGGGATCTCGCTTCCTGAGCAAAGGGATGAGTATATGGACATTGTAAACGACGGTTGGAAGGTCGTCAGTGGCTGGGCTCGGTCCCACGAAAAGGTTGCAGCCGAGGAGGCCGAAGCGACTATATCCTCTATGCTCTCTGCATTTTGGAAAGACAAGCTCGAAGGGCTAGAAGATCTTGCTCCACTCGACTATTATATCGGAGTCGCTTTTGTGAAGATCATGGACACCGCCGACTCTTCCAACAGCGCCAAGTCGCCGGAAGAGGTCACCCAGCTTTGCAGGGATATGCGCAAAGCGAATGCCATCCGCTCGGCTGCTTGGGTAGCTACATTGCGCCATGCCATTCTATCGAATCCTACGGGTACGCGGCTGTGCAACGAGTTTGTCGCAGACTCGACTGGACTGAAATCTCAGGATGAGAATAAAGACGGTCAGTAAGGGCTTCTCGTATGTCTTGACTATGCTGATAATTGTTAGGGTTGCGAAAGCTGGTTCTCCTTAACCTCCTGCTCGCTGGGGACCAGGACGTCGCGGCGTCCATACCCACCCAGCGTTTGATGTTCCTGATCAAGCATCTCACCCAATGCCTTCAATCTGATGCTGTATCCCTTAGCCTCAAGGCCGAGATTCTTCAGACTCTAGTATTCGTACTCCCATGCATTCAAGAAATGTACGGCTCTCACTGGGAAGATTGCTTGGAGATTCTTGATGCGACCTGGAAGAGGACTAGTGGTGGCGATGAGGCTCTTCCGGTGCTCTTGTCATCTTACAGACTTTTCGCTAAATTACAATCGATCGTCAGTGACGAAGAGAGTAATGATGATGTGAAGGATGCGTGGTCGGATCGGAAATCGAAGCTATTTAACAGTTTGACCTCGACTTTGCGAAAATTTGGTAAGTCTATCACGTTTCGCAATCTGAGAACATTGTTGAATGATTATCATGTAGATTCGTCAACGATCTTCGATCAACCTCGGGACATCACGGTTGACCTGCTCTGTCGGTTTGTCAAGACCATTCCGGTCGAGAATCTAGAGGACGTTAGCAGTGTCTTCTCGCTTCTGACGGCGCAGAGCCGAGCTATCCAACGCACTGCCTACACTCTGCTGCACCGGTACATTCCCAGCGTGCAGGAACAGGTATCTTTCGATGTGGCTTTGTCGAAGACGACGGTCCGACTACCTGACGAACTCGTGTCTCTGTTGCTTGGCGCACCGACGATGGACTCGATCAATAGATCTTATGGCAATGAGAGGACCTGGACTGAGCTCCGCTCCTATTTGCTGAGTTGGAAGATCGTCTTCGATCACTTTGTCAATGCGGTAAGTTTCCACATCCGAAGACGTCACCCATAGCAGGCAGCATCTAACTGATTCAAATAGTCTCTCACTGTCCAAGAGAACTATGTTGCTAGTATCCGAGAGAATGAGAGTTTGGACTCATTGCTGGAGCTCACGTTCGACTTTCTCCAGCAGTCCCACGGCAAGATGATTGATGCGTCCAAGTTTGACATCCGCTCCTTTGAACCGGATCAGTCTGAAACCCCTGAAAAGGAGATCCAATGGCTTCTTGTGCACTTGTACTTCCTGTGCCTGAAGCATTTGGCCAACATGACCAAAGGATGGTGGATTGACACGAAAAAGCGCATCAAGGGACCAGTAGAAGCCTGGACTCAGAAATACGTATGTCTTACCGGATGCAATCATGCAGCAGATTACTGACTCACCCATTTAGATCTCTCCATTGGTCATTGAAGAGTCATTGCAAGGAGTCTCTGAGTGGACTCAGACTCAAGATCCCAACGAAGAACGTGCGCTGCAGGTGAAGATTGCGCCGAAGACCGCGGAGATCATCGCCAGTATCCCGGTCGACGAGGATTCGCCGCCAGTCTCGCTGTCGATCTCGCTGCCACCTGCCTACCCGCTTCAGCCCGCGTTGGTAGTCGGGCGGAGTCGTGTTCTGGTGGACGAGAGAAAGTGGAAGAACTGGCTGACGACCATTCAGGGTGTCATCATGTTTGCCAATGGCAACATGATAGATGGACTGCTAGCATTCCGGAAGAACGTGCAGGGGGCGCTCAAGGGCCAGAGCGAGTGTGCTATCTGCTACAGTGTCATCTCGACGGACATGCAGACGCCGAACAAGCGCTGCGCGACGTGTAAGAACACATTCCATTCGGTGTGTCTGTTCCGGTGGTTCAAGAGCAGTAACCAGAGCACGTGTCCGCTGTGCCGGAACAACTTTGTCTATGTTTGAGGTGGTGCTTAGTATACACTGTACATAGAATTGTCTATCGTGATAAAAGTGGTATAGATAGAATTGATTACCATACATGTCTTCATATTAACAATATGAACAGCCAGTTTCTCCGCATTTAGAGTACATGCCTGGTTTGTCAGGCAGGATTGACTCCGCTTCCGCCGGGGACGAAACGAACAACCGCGGAACCTCCGCCCGCCTTTCCATCCCAAGTTTCCCCTCCTTCCCCTCCTTCCACTCCGCTCTCCCCCTCATCTCATGTCGGCTTCACAGATCCCCAATCTCAACACCTTACGTCGCGGCGGCGCTCGTCTTCGCGGTCACGGCCGTGGCGGAGGTGAGTTAGGTTCTGATGCTCCCTCTCGACGAGGAGGCTCCAGCACCAAAGACCGAGTGGTACAAGGCACGGACAATGACGCCAGCGTCTCTCGCCTCAGTGCCGTGAACCTGGGCTATCTCGACGACCCATTTGCGCCAGCCTTGACACCTCCAGGCCAAGAAACCCGACGCCTGCCCATCATCAATCGAGGTACGCAACCCTCTGGCCCCCAAATCTTGTCCTTTAACCTCGTCCCATAACTAATAGCCGTCTACACAAAAAAGGCACCTACGTCCGCACCACAACAATCGACCACCTCCTCACGCAATTCCTCCACCCTTCCACAACCCCCAATCAACCAGTCACAACCCCCACAACACCAACAAAAGCCACCATCCCCACCCTCCCCCAACCGAAGCCAAAACAAATCATCTCCCTCGGCGCCGGCTCCGACACCCGCATCTTCCGCCTCCTCGCCCAGACCCAGACCCAGACCCAGACCCAGACCCAACCCCACCCCGAACAAACAATCATCTACCACGAACTCGACTTCCCCAGCAACACTGCCTCGAAAATCCGGGCCATCCGCGCCGCCCCCCACCTGCAGCGCGCGTTAGGCGACCCGCAAACCGTCACCATCTCCCCCGCCGCCGACGCCCTGCATACCCCGCACTACCACCTCCACCCGATCGATCTCCGCCAGCTGGCTGCTCTAGCGTCATCGCCACCTTTGAGGAAGGGGGATCTAGGGAATGAGGGCGCGGACCTGCAACTGGACACCCTCCTCCCGGGCCTCGACCCGACTCTGCCGACGGTGTTGATTTCCGAATGCTGTCTGATTTATTTGGAGCCCGAGGAGGCGCGGCGGGTGGTCGAGTTCTTTGTTGGGGTTTTTGATGCTTCCGCCGGTGGAGGAAAAGCTGGAGCTGGAGCTGGAGCTGGAGCTGGAGCTGGAGCTGGAGCTGGGTCTGGGGCTGGAGCAGACGGCCCGCCCCTAACCCCCCCGCTGGGCATCATCCTCTACGAGCCGATCCGGCCGGACGACGCGTTTGGGCGCACGATGGTGGCCAACCTGGCGACGCGCGGCATCCAGCTGCAGACGCTGCACCAGTACGCGAGCCTGGCGGCGCAGCGGGCGCGGCTGCGGGCGCACGGGTTCGTGGACGGGCAGGCGGCGGCGGATGTGGATTTCCTGTGGGAGCGGTGGGTGGCGGAGGGGGAGAAGGAGCGCGTGGCCGGGCTGGAGATGTTGGATGAGATGGAGGAGTGGCGGTTGTTGGCGCGGCATTATTGCGTGGCGTGGGGGTGGAGGGAGGGTGGAGGACGGCAGCAGCACGTGTTTGAGGGGTGGAGGGGGTTGGAGGGGCAGCAGGACGAGGATTAATCCTTGACGTTAGCTGGATGGGTCGTCAAGTTAGGTATACAGTGGGTATGGAGCTCAGGCGAAGCTGCAAGGGGTTTGTGTGAGCTGTGCTGTGGTTGTGTTTGACTGAAATGCACTGCACCACATTCTACGTTGCTGGAGGCATGACTTCCCCTGATATGACAGTGCAATCCACGATGTACAGTACCTACTATATTCCAGCCCAGCTATATATAAACACCAATCAACCATCTTACCACCAACCCTAATCCCAGGTCCCGACCGATTAGAAGACTACAACTTCCCCCTCTCCAAAAACCGCACCGGCAAATCCACAAACCGCGCCCGCAGGAACTCGGCGACATTTTTCCCCAAAAAGTCCACCGTCACCGTCGCGCACACCCCGCGATCCAACAGGTTCCTAAACAGGAAGTGCACCGCCCGGAGATTGGGCAGCTCGAACCGCTCCACCCGCAGGGAAGCAGCACCCGCGGCGGCGGTATCAGTGTCAGTGTCAGTAGACGTGTACTGCGGCCCCAACAGCTCCTGGACCGTCGACACTGTCAGCACCCGTCGCAGCCACTGGAACTCGTCTGTATGGCGTACCCAGAAGCCGCAGTTGGCGTCGGGGCCCTTGTCGCCGGAGCGGGCGTGGACGATCCAGCCTAGGGGGCCGCGGATGGTGGGGCCGTAGTTTGTGGTTGAGGGGATGGGGGGCGCGGGGGGAGCGGAATGGCCAGGGTTTCGGGGGGCGGGGGTTAGTTCCGCTTGCGCGGCGGGAGGAGGGGCGATGTCTACGGTTTGAGGACCAGCACCAGCAGCACCCGTTTTCCAGGGCAGGTGCACGCGGTGCTGGACGGCAGTCTGCGGCAAGAGACAGACAAAGTATTCGAAGATCGGCCGGGGAAAGCCCTGGCGGGTGTCGAGGTGCCAGGTTGCGCCGGGGTAGCCTTGCATGATGTTGTCGGTGATGGGCCGCAGGAAGCGGGGGGCGGCGAGGGCGGCGGCGGTGCGGGCCTGCGCGACGATGCGGAAGGTCACGGTGGCGCTGTCCTGGGTGCGCGGGTCGTCGGGCGCGGACCCCAGGGTCGAGAAGGTCAGCGCCGTGAAGGCGTCGGAGTACGGGGCGAGGACGTGGCGGATCTGCGCCTCTAGCATGCGCGCCTTGGCGGCGATGTCCAGCCCGACCAGGAAATAAATCGCCTCGGCTTGAAACCCCCCATGCGCGGAGATGCCCACCTTGGTCGTTGGGGGCGGGGGTGCGGACCGCACGCCGCGCAGGGCCACGCGGTTTGTGCCGCGTTGCTCGAAGAAGATGTTGCTGAGCAGGGCGGTGACGTCCGAGTTGAGGTAGCGGGGGCCCTGGATCTCGTACAGCAGCTGCGCGGAGCAGGTGTCGACGGTGACGGCGCCCCCAGTTGCGTAGGTCTGCATTGTGATGATCACTTGCCCCTCCGGGGAGATCTCCGCGATGGGGTATCCGATGTTGGTCCATCCGTCCTGGCCGAGGGATTCGAGCATCTTGAAGCCGGTGAAGTTGCCGCCGCAGACGTAGTTGCTGCATTCGATCAGGTGGCCGGCTACGAGGGCGTTGGCGAGGCGGTCCAGGTCGCTGCGTTGCCAGCCGTGGAACCAGTATGCTGCTCCAATGACGGCGGATGCGTCGGAGACGCGTCCGCAGAGGACGATATCGGCGCCATTGGCTAGCGCGGCTGCAATCCCCAGTCCCCCGAGGTAGCACTGCGCGAAGATCGGCTCGAAGGGCCACTCGGACAACGACTGGCCGGTGTAGATGCTCTTGAAGTCGGACTTGCCCGACGAAAGTGCCTCTTGGACGGTCGACAGGACCTGGTCACCCGATACCCAAGCGACCTGCAGCCGAATGTGAGCACATTCCCTCGAAGACAGCAGCCACTGCAAGTGGAGGTAGTAACCTTGAGGTCTAGTCCTTTCGCCTGCACCATCTGCACAACCGCGTCGTGGAGGCCCTCCGTATCGGCGTTCCCTGCATTGACCGCCATTTTGATCCTATGCTTGGCAAGGTCCACCAAGGCCGGCTCGAGGGCAAGCAAAAATGACGCCTCGTATGCAGGTGCCGGCGTAGTGGTAGCCGATCCTCGGCCGGGTTGCACCTGTTCATACCGCGCCCGGATCTGGTCGACTCGCCGGGCTGCCCCAGCGGACATGTTGGCCTCGCTCAAGAAATCGGCGGTGATAACGTCCACCGGGTCTCGGGGATAGTTGCGTGCAAACTCAGCTATGGCATAGTGTCGATCCGAAGCGGAACCTGACGCCCCTGGGGTATCTTAGTATACACGGAAAGGACGGTCTCTCTCATGGCTCACCAGCGATGCGAACGGAACGCGAAGCCATAATCACGGAAAATTGAAAGTAGTGGTGGTGGTGGTACTGGTCACGGGAACAGTAGACAACTCCTTTGGCTGGAAGTGAGCTCCGAGTAATTTATCACAAAAATGACAAAGCAAGGGCGCCCCGGTGTGACTGTGACACCATCTGGGTTGAGCCGAGGAGATTCGGTCGAACGAAGGGCGGGGTTGACAAGGATCCAGGCGGTCACTTCAATCTAATGAAACAAAGAATGGATGATGAGTTACCGAAAAGTCCCGCTACAGGGCAGAAGGCAATTTCCCAGTTACCTGAACCTAATTAACGGTCAAATAGTCAGAAGCATACCCTACGCTGGAAGTTAAAGCCAGGATCGTGGGCAAGATGATGTCACCCGCAACGTGGTGATGTACTGCGAACCATGGTATATCTACACATATCCGATCCAGTGCATAATCCCCATGGCCATGAACAGCACCAAGACTGTTGTTTTGGCGGTTTCGATATCATCCCGATGGCGACGAGCCCAGTTTCCCAGTTGTGCCAACCCGGTAAACTTGTTATTGTCCTTCACAGCGGTCCAGAGTGCCGGCAGCCCATCAAGACTTCGGTAATTCCACTCCTTTTGGTAGGCCCGCATCTTGTTCGCCTGCACCTGTTTGCCTGCCCAGTGGCCCAGTGTGTCGCGGTCTTTGAGATATGGTTTGGATTCGTTGGTGTCGGGATCAAGCTTCACGGACAGCCGCGGAACTCCATAACCGCATGACGATTGCACCTGTATCCGGTATGACCATTGACGTTAGTGATGAGCTTTTGTGTCAACCGAGTTCTGCACAAGAATGCCTAAACTATATACTGCAGGCGACTCCGACAGGTACAAGGTTACAGATATCTTGAAATAGGCAAAGAAGAAGGAGGCAGGAGATCCAACCTTAAATACGTCCAGATGGATGATCGCCCGTGCTCCAACCACGGCCTTGCCTCCCATACGGTCGAGATATTGTGGAAATTCAGGTTGGTCCCATTCGATCACCGAACCATTGCAGAAGAAACGCACGATCCCGGGTGCTGTGTCAAATGAGCAGAACATGACCGTAATGCGACCATTTTCACGCACGTGGCTGATGGTCTCACTTCCGGACCCGGTCGCATCTATGTAAGCAGCCTCATTCGGGCCAAGTATGGCCAACGAGGCATCAGGCAGTCCTTTGGGGGATAGATTGATATGGCGACCTTGCAGCGGGGCCGAAGCGACGAAGAAGACGCTTTGACGCAGGACCCAATCCCGTAGGTCGTCCGAGATGGAGGGATAGAATTTCGGCATGGTATGGCTTGGAAGTGAGAATCTGATCAGCTCGACTGACGCTTGAGTTGACACTCTTGGAAATCGAAGGTGGGAAGGATGCAGAGATGAAAGGGGATGGAGATGCTTCGAAGGAATGCGCGGAGGTGTGGTGCAACTCCGTCAGCCGCGCCGCCCTCTTACTGGCACGACAAGGATTTGCATCTGCCACGGGATTGTTCGAGTCTTTCGGCATGAATGCCGCTCGAAGACTTGTGAAGATATTTCGTATGCTGCTTGCTCATTTTGTACAATCTGACACAAAGATACCTATTGGTCTTCAAGTCATTGGTGAAGCAGTTATTTGCGGATGTAGGATGTCAGTCCAAGTCATCGCATCATGTCGAACTGCAATCGAAAACAAGGTACGGTCCACATCTGACGGTACGAGTTCTGGATTTCAGACAAGATGGATAGTAACAAGTGACAAGAAAACCTGATTGCTCTGCTCAGATAAGAAGCCCATCACTGTGCATCGAGTCCTCTTATCGCAACCAGGGCAGCTGTAGCTCAAGTGTTGTCACATGGTGAGTGGAAACTGTGGGGTTAAGGTCAAGAGATGAGCTCGCGCTGAATACCTTCAATAGTCCAAGGCAGCATCATATCTTGAACAATAGCGAGAAAGAGTGAGAGAGCCTGCTCGGTACTCGATCACCCATCCATCGCTCTTGTTGCTCGCAAGATCATCAGATGAGAATGGAAACCATCGACCATTCTTGAACCAGGCCTAGCCAGGGACAACAGGCCCGGGATGAATCAACCCGAGGCAGCGATCGGGGCACCGGGAGAAAGGTACCGAGGGGTCGGTCCGGGGAAAAGCCCGTCCCGTGACCAGTCCGATTACTAACTACTTGGAGTGTGCGTGATCATGGAGTGGAGGGGATAGGCCAGAATCATTCTATGCACGGTAAGTGGGGGAAGGAGGGGCTAGCAGGGGCTAGCAGTGGCAAGCTCTGATCTTCAATACGAGTTGGATGACGAGACATTTTACGGAGTAGTGCTTGGGGAGTTCTCGATAGCTTATCTCTGGGTAGACCAGGAGTACTCCGTAGTTAGTACCTAGTTCTCAGAGCCAGGTAGAGGGCCCCTATCTCTAGATATACTGGGTATGTAGGGACGGAGTACGGACTACGGAGTAGATAAAAAGGTGGTGAAGACGCGGCACGTGTTTGGGTTCTGGAACTCGGCCGACAGGAAGCCAAGCCTCTTGGTGTGTCAGTTTGAGTGAGTTCGAGTCCATGGTTGGTCTGCTTGGTTTGATTGCCGTAGCCCGCTTGGCATTGGTTCATGTCTCATTTCTTTCAATCCTTCGGGAGGGCACTTCGTCATCCATTGGCAGAGGAGTATAAGTTCCCTTGATCCGGCTGATTTGCTTGCTCAATTCATTCATTCAAATATTGGACCAGGTTGATCTCCTGCAGGATTGGGGCAATAAGTTTAGTCGAGTCTAGTCCAGATAGCTGCAACTGGCGGACGGAGCCTGGAGGGGTTGCCCGGGGTTTAGAATACCAGACTAATTTAGTGAGCAAGCGCGAGTTATACCGCATTGAGTCCCATTGACTGGTTGTTGAGGGGACGAGAGGGTGAGATCCCCACCACCGAGGCTAAGCGGGGAGATTCCGCGCCACTATGGCTTTTAGTCTAGTGACAGACAGCACTGGATAAGAATAAGCTGCAGGGCAGGATGGAGTGGGTAAGCCGGTCTCTTTCGGGAATTCTCTGATAGAAAGGTCAGAAGGATAAAGAAAATAAGAAACCAGCAGAAAATGTTGTACTCAGTAACCTGGTTGGTACCTTGCCAGTAAGTAGATGAGTTAGTATAACTACTAAGATGGAGGGTGGGCGAGATGAGAATCTGCTGCGGAAACCCCGCACGATCTGAAAAAACCCACCCACGGAACTGGCAAACCAGCCAGCGAGAGGTTCAGTAACGTTCAGTAACGGAGCAAAGCGGGGCGCGCAAGGCGTGGGCCATGAAGTAATTGAATCCCCGGTTCGGTCGACGAAACAGCGATGAGCAATACTAAAAGCCATTGTGCTGTTACATACTGAGTACTGCACTGCATTAACCGTACTGGGAGAGCTTCGCCTCCTCCTCCTCCTCCTCCACCCCTCCTTCGGCGACATCTTTCCCCCCCACCTCCATCATTTTCCCTTTGAATGTTCCTCCGTTTCCTCCGTCCCCACCTCGGCGATCCTAGCTATGGTTCACCATGTTCGTTACTTTATTAACACTGGAGCTTCCCCTCCCCCCTCCCCTCATTCTCTCTTCCTCTTCCTCTTCCTCTTCTCCTCTCATCTCGCCTCCCCTTTCCCTCCTTATCATCCTAATTTCACACCATGGCTGATCTTTTCACCACCATCGAGACCCCTCTCGCCAAGTACGAACAGCCTCTGGGCTTGTATGTGTCTCCCTATCGTGGACTCGTTCTCATGCTTCATCCCCACCACTAACTGTCTGCTTTCACGATCAGGTTCATCAACAACGAGTGGGTCAAGGGTGTCGAAGGCAAGACCTTCGAGACCATCAACCCCACCAACGAGAAGCCTATTGTTTCCGTTCACGAAGCTACGGAGAAGGATGTCGACATTGCCGTTGCGGCTGCCCGCAAGGCCTTCGAGGGCTCCTGGGGTCACGTCACTCCTCACGAGCGCGGCCGCTTCCTGACCAAGCTGGCTGACCTGTTCGAGCGCGATGCTGACATCCTGACCGCCATCGAGGCCCTGGACAACGGCAAGTCGATCTCCATGGCCAAGGGGGATGTTGGCGCCGCTGCCAAGTGCTTGCGCTACTATGGTGGCTGGGCCGACAAGATCCACGGTCAGACCATTGACACCAACAACGAGACCTTCGCCTACACCCGCCACGAGCCCATTGGTGTTTGCGGTCAGATCATTCCCTGGAACTTCCCTCTCCTCATGTGGTCTTGGAAGATTGGCCCCGCTCTGGCCACCGGTAACACCGTCGTCCTCAAGTCGGCAGAACAGACTCCCCTGTCTGCCCTCTATGCCGCTAAGTTGGTGCTCGAGGCGGGCATCCCCGCTGGTGTCGTCAACGTCATCTCCGGTTTCGGTCGTGTGGCCGGTGCCGCCATCTCCAGCCACATGGACATTGACAAGGTTGCCTTCACTGGTTCTACCCTGGTTGGCCGCACCATCATGCAGGCCGCTGCCAAGAGTAACCTGAAGAAGGTGACTCTCGAGCTGGGTGGCAAGTCCCCCAACATCGTCTTCAACGACGCTGACATTGACAACGCCATCACCTGGGCCAACTTCGGTATCTTCTACAACCACGGTCAGTGCTGCTGCGCCGGTTCCCGTCTTCTGGTTCAGGAGGGTATCTACGACAAGTTCGTCGCTCGCCTGAAGGAGCGTAGCGCCCAGAACAAGGTGGGCAACCCCTTTGAGAAGGACACCTTCCAGGGTCCCCAGGTCTCCAAGCTCCAGTTCGATCGCATCATGGAGTACATCGACCATGGCAAGCAGGCTGGTGCCACCGTTGCCGTTGGTGGTGAGCGCCACGGCGATGAGGGCTACTTCATCCAGCCCACTGTCTTCACTGATGTGACCGAGGACATGAAGATTGTCCAGGAGGAGATCTTCGGCCCCGTCATCACCGTTCAGAAGTTCAAGGACGTCGAGGACGCCATCAAGATCGGTAACAACACTTCCTACGGTAAGTCTTTCACTTCTCAATATCTTGTACCCTCATACTGATGAACGCCTACAGGTCTTGCCGCTGGTATTCACACCAAGGACATCAACACCGCCCTCCGCGTGGCCAACCAGATGCGTGCAGGGTATGTATCCGTCATTGCTTGTAGATTCGACCGAACAAATACTGACCGTGAAAACAGTACCGTCTGGGTCAACAGCTACAACATGCTCGACACTCAAGTGCCGTTCGGTGGTTTCAAGGAGTCCGGTATCGGTCGCGAGCTTGGCTCGTACGCCCTGGAGAACTACACTCAGATCAAGGCTGTGCACTTCCGCCTGACCGATGCTCCTTTCGCTTAAATGGGTGAGACTGTGGAGTGACTCGCTACGGTGACGGGTCATTGAAGTTCTAAGCTTTGGTTGCACGTAGCCATGACTGGTTCATGTAAAACAATTTCTAGGATACGAATTTACGAGATTTTCATAATTCATGCCCTCTCATCGGTGCATCATGTCGTACAAGCGTGCTTCGTAGCTGATTACACCACGAAATATTCTTTTGGTAGGAGGTAAAGCGGAAGATCGCAAGGGCGAACGAACACTCGGGCCAAAATCGACCCGAGTAACGTCGGGGTGAAGATAGCCCGAGCACTAGCTCCATCCGGGGGCAGTCACCTGCCTTCAAGGTTGTTTCGCTTGCTCTCGACCTCGAGAAAAAGCCTCCTCTTTACCAACCACTGATAGGGCTGTCGGCAGCAGGAGAGAGTCGCTGTGCGCAGCCAAAGCACTCGCTCTGAGCTTCGTGCATCCATCGTGGCACAAGGACATGGATGGATACTCACAATGGCATGACTCTTATCCAGTCATGAAGCGAGGCTTCATCTGGACCGGCCTGCACTAAACTCTGGAGTCTATCCATCCAACTCTTATCTCTGCTTACATGCACACATATGGGCTTTGTTATCGCGATCAGTCGTTCCTGCGTCAGGTCGATGTCCATCAGCTCTAATTCGAATTCCCCTGAAGGCTCAAAACAGGGACGATGATATCGCCTGACACCAGGGTTGTGGACCCAGAGGTAAGGTAACACACAAAAAGCATTCTTCTCGTGAGTTCCCTGTTTTTAAGCATCCTATTGGGCTTTCGCTGCTGCTGTGGACTGACGAGCTGACAGTGTCTGCGTTGCTACTTCCTCGTGTCGCACAGTTCCCTGCATTGAAACCCCAAACGGCAACAGTCCCAAAATGCTTGTCCTTCGAGCAAGGGAACAAGCTAGATATATCATGCCCCAGGCGCCTCCGAGAGCCTGCTTGCACCAGGGCCGATCAGAGTCCAGGCAACCGAACCAAAATGGCGATCTCAGCGGATCTTTGCTGCGGCGTGGTCATGGCTCTGCAGAATTTGATTATGATCACGCTGCTCACTCGGACACCCAAGGGCTCCTTCATGCGATGGATCTGTTTTCCCTCGATGGTATACCTGGCCTACCTCGAGGGGGTGCTCAACAGCCTCAGTGCGTCGACTTTTATGTTCAAGATGCGGACCGGCGGCCACTCCTTCACCTTCCTCATCCAACTGATGAATCTCCTTTATATCTCCAACGTCGATCTGACCACACTGCCAAACCGGTCCAAGGCCGCATTCCAGCTCCTGCTCACCATCCGGGGCATCGGAACACCATGGCAGCCCAAGAACATCCCTCCTTTCCCAGCCGTGATGCAAACCGATCCTTCTCCCGGACGCACGCAGTACGTCGTCCGCCAGCTCGCCATCATCATCTGGCAGGGTCTCTTCCTTCGTCTCCTCGAGCACCCGCGTCTCCACCCCGACCAATCGTTCTACAGACCCGGACAGGAGTTCTCATATCGACTGGACCAATGGCCCGGCCGACTGGCATGCACCTACATCATCGGGTTGATCCCTTCCTATCTGTTCCTGGATATGATGTACCGCGGCACGGCTATCGTCTTCGTCGGCTCGGGTGACCATTCTGTGTCTCAGTGGCCGCCATTATTTGGGAGTCTTGCCGATTCCTACACGTGCCGTGGTTTCTGGGGGTAGGTCTCCATTCTATTTGAAAGACCCCAATGTTACACCGTTCCCTGACTCTTCCTTGCCTCTTCTCTTCGAATATCCGAGTACATTCTCGTATCTAACCCTTAATGGTGCCCTCTCAGCAAATTCTGGCACCAATACCTCCGCTGGCCCTTCAGCAGCTTCTCAAATTGCGTCACCACCTGCATTCTCAAATTACCCCGGCCCTCCCTCGTCGAGCGCTACGTCAACGTCTTCATCGTCTTCAGTCTCTCCATGATCATGCACATGATTGGCAACACCGTCGCCGGAGTAGGAGGCGGGCACTTAGGCTCAATACTGTTCTTCCTGTCGAATGCCGTCGCCATCATGTTTGAGGATGCAGTGCAGTATGTGTGGCGCGCGGCGGTGGCGCGGCGGTCTCGCACCCCGGTGCGGCTCGGAGATGAACAGAAACAGAAAAATGGAGACGTCAATGCTGATGCCACCCCCGCTGCGATCCGCGGTGGTGATGGTGTCCCTCCGCTCTGGCAACGCTGCATCGGCTTTGTCTGGGTGGTGCTCTGGATTGCGTGTTCGTGGTCCTGGTGGTATTATCCCATCATTCGAACCATGATCAAACATGGAGACCTGTCGGCGACTTCGAGTGGAAAGGAAGTTGTTCCGAGCTGGGAGCTGCCGACACTGGTGGGCTTGGTGGCTGGGGGTGCAGTTTTGCTTCGGGTAGTGTTCAAGGCGGAGCCGTGATTGTGAGTTTGGGTATGGGCTTGGGTCAGTCTGGGGTTTAGGGGTTATGGGTCAGTGGTCTAACGGGATTAGTTGGTGTTATCTGGACCAGGAGTCTTAACCGAGCTTGCTATATGTCATGCCGACAGGCAGACTAGATTGATCGATCTTCGTTATTGGGGAGGATTTCGATGGGCTATGCATTCAAGGTTTAAGGAAACTTACTGCAACAAGGAACATTTGCCAAGAATCAAGGCCAGCACTCATTCCATTCATTACACCCTTCCATTCTATAAATAAATGCTCGAAGAAGGACAAGAGACAGAAGAAAGAAATCTCGCTCACTACCCTGAACACCACCGCAGCTTCCTAAATAACCTACATTACTCACCCATCCACACGGTTCACAAATAATTATACCACAGTTCCCTTTGCAACTCCTCCAACCGCCGCAATCCACCAGACACCCGGCCCAACGCATCAGTCAAGAAAGCACTGCGCGTGGCGCCGGGCCGGGGCGCCGACCACGTCGTCCACCCGCGCGACATGGCGCGCTGGAACGTCGTCTCGGCATGGGTATCCGGGCCCAGGGGGGCGAGCTCGACGACCGCCTCGGGCCCTAGGGTCATAAGGTAGTAGATCCACTCGTGCAGCATGATCATGCCCTGATTCCTTTTGTCGGTGTCGGGGGGAGGAGCAGACGAGGCGCTGCCGTCGTCGTCGTCGTCGCCGTCACCGCTATTAGCAGTGGCATTGGCGAAGACGCCGAAGCGACGGGCGCGCTCGGTCTCGCCGCGCAGGAAGCCGAACATGTATTTGAGACAGGTCCAGACCTCGTCCATGTCTTGCATATCGGTCACGGAGAGGCCGCCGGGGCTGTTGCCCTCGCCGAAGCCCGGAGGCGGGTCGAACAGGATGCTGCAGACGTCGTTGGGGTCCGGGCAGGGCTGGAACGGGGAGCGCACCTCGCCGCGCAGCCAGCTGACTTGGCCGTCGATGTCGTGGTCGCGGCCCGTCTGCATGCCGAAGAGGTGGCAGAAGGTCCAGACGCGCCAGATCGCGTTGTCAATCTTGCGGGCCGCGGGGCTGGCCGGCCGCGAGAGCGCCGTGTACGAGGCCGAGCGCATCACGGCCCGGCAGTGGGTCATCATCAGGCCCTTCAGCGTGGCGTGCGTGCGATGGTCGCGGGTGTAGTGGCGGTAGTAGATCTCGGCCGTGAAGGGTTCTTCCTCCGACGAGGATTCCTGCGAGTTGATGTCGCTCATCTGGCGGTGTTCCCAGGCGGCGGGTGATTTGAGGCGGATGGTGTTCTGCATCAGGGGCAGTTCGTGGCGCTTGAAGACTTGGTATGTGGCGCGGTTGACCTGGGCGAAGGCGAAGAGGTCGTCCAGATCGTCGATTTGGAGGAGGATTTGGAGGGTCATGTCTTCTAGGCCGGGTTTGGTCAGACTCCAGCGCGTGGGCGGGAATGCTTTGCTTAGGTCGTCCTCAATCTCTGCCATCATTTTTGTGTAGCGTGGGTAGATGCTGGAGGTGTCCGATTCATTGTCGCCGAGGTTGAAGACGTGTATTGATGGACTGTCGTCCTGCATCGTCGCGTCGTCTTCGTAGCCAACATATTCCCAAGCGTCTTCGTCCTCGGCGCCGGTCTTGCGGGTCTTGGAGGTAGGAGCGGGAGAAGCAGGGGTAGGGGGAGGATGAGTCTGAGAGAAAGGTAATGGAGGTAGAGGACTGGTAGGCGCTGGCGACGGAGGGGGAACAGAATGGGAGTAAGTATGGGTATTCAGGTGAGGAGGTGGGGGGAGAGCTGGTGAGCTGGGAGGAGGATAAGAATGGGAATGGCTGTGAACATTGAGGCGGGGAGAACCAGGAAGGAAAGAAGGACTGAGCTGAAGAGGTGCAGGAGATGCACAGCGACTTGGTGGTGCTGGTGGAGCAACGTCCAAGCCGAGAAGAGGGTCATTTTGGACTCTCAAGAAGAGGGACCGGAGAAACTTTTGGTTCGCTTCGGCTTGAAGAATCGCGTCCATTGAATAGCCATCCTCTAATAAGCTGGCAAGCACATTCTTCATGCGGCTGACCGCATCTTGATATCGCTCTTCGTCCTGTTTCTCGACATTTTGCATCCAATCATGTTGCTGATCTCCAGACTCTTGTGACTGTTGCGGATTCGTGGACATACGAACGATGATGGATGCTCGCCGATCATTCTGAGACTTGGGTTTCTTCAAATTCGAAGATGAAGCTTTAGTGGTGAGGACGCGTCGCACTCCCGCTTTGAGCGTTCGCCATATAGGCTTCTCCTCACCGTCGTCTTTAGCGGATAGCCTTTGCTCCGATGACTTCTTCGATGGTTGCTTTGAGGGCCCGTCAGACCGATTTTGATCTGGTGCGCTAGTATTTGGGTTGTACGGAGGAAAGAGGCCCTTCTCAGATTGGTATGGAGGGAAAAGGCCCGTTGATGGTGGGGCGTCAACCTGCTGTGGCCATGAAGGTTCGTTCGGAAATGCGTTCAACGCCGCAGCAGCGGCCAACGAGAATTCCGGATTCAGTGAACGCTGATCGTTAGGTCGCGGTGTGAAAGACCGAGGAGTCAACGGCTGGGGGGTCATTGGTCGACCCGTCGAAAGCTGAGGGGTCATGGGCCGAGTGTTCAGTGGCTGGGGAGCCATAGGTCGCATGTTCAAGGGTTGCGGGGTCATCGGCCTGGCCAGTGACGGCTGAGGGGTCATGGGGCGTCGGTTCAGGGCCTGAGGGGTCACTGATCGAGGAGTAAGAGGTCGAGGTGCCATTGGTGGCTGTGGCGTTGTCGATCGCGATGGCATGGAGCCTGGAGTCATAGGTCGAGGTGTCTGAGGTCGCGAGCTGTAGAGCGGCAGAGACTCCCCCACGGGCGAGCCTGACTGGTATGAGGCATGGATATGTTTCTCTTGTGGGTTGGGAACCGGGGGAAGCGGCTTGTTATACTTCCATTCGGTCGTGGAGGATGAGCTCATCGTGGGACTTGCTCGCGAGGTATATGAAGGGCATGGACTGAGCGGTGGTCGATCGTACATGCCGACTTTGGGAATGCTCAGACTCGGCACGGCCAAGCGGTCGGAAGAGTCCCAATTCGTCTCCAATCCTGCCAGAAGAAGCTTGTCGTCAATGTGCTTGCCAGGCATCTTGTTGATGTGGTTGTGTTGGGTTTGGCCTGCCACGTCGTCGATGTGATCTTCGAGTATGTCATTCGGGAGGAAGTATAATGTCGATCGTGATCCGAGACTGTCGGAAGACTTCGAAGCGTAGGGGTTACCGTAGGGCGTGTGGCCGAGAGAAATAGGAATCTCGGAGTATTGCGGTGGGTAAGGATCCTGTCTATAGTGAGGCATAGCAGGTAGGGCCATGATGTAGGATCGCCACCCAGAGTTCAGGAGGACCGAAAACAAATAGGCTATATTAAATTGACGGGGACCTGCAGGAGGTGATATACGTCGCCTCCCCCAGACGGGATCCCTCGCTGGAGCCGAGCCCGCCCATTACACACTCCTTGTACTCAGCTTTCTCCCATCTCAGCACAGATCTTGGGTCCGTAATGTTTGAACGGGGGCTACAAGTTCCACGGGAGCCATAGAGAGCTGGTAAGCCAAGTAACCTAGTACCTGGCTATGACTCGGCGGGAGCGATCAACTGACCCGCTGGGACACAGGCGCCGCGAATAGCGAACAAATTGCATCATGATAGGCAGCTTCTATGAACGAATGTGGCAGTGAGCTCGAGAAAGGGAGGATCGCAGTCTCTGAGCTCTCATCGCGGGCCTGAAGAGACTAGTTCGTCATGGCGTTGGGGCCAAATCGTGTCAGAGTCTGTAAGGCATTCCTTCATACAACACGACTGGAAGCAATTAGCAAAAGAGCACGTTACATGCAGACCGTCATACCTTAGACTTGATATTTGAGCTCATATCCATAGCCCAGTTGGTGATGGAAGACAAGTGTCTGGCGGTAAGAAACAGAGGGGAGGTTGTCAGAAAGAGGAAGGGGAGAAGCGAGGGGAGTTGTTGTTGCGCATCTCCGCCTGTCCTCCCGACACAATCCTTCAAACAACACAACTTTCGCCCCCAGGCCTCGTTCGCATCCAATTTCCCATCCAACTGATTTCAAAGAATCCAACAATACTTGCGAAGTTTCTACGAGCATCGCCATGTGGCAGTGTCTGACATCAGACACTCCTTCCAGAAGAACTCGCGGGGGCTGAAAATCCCCCTAATCCGCTCGTCTTGACTGCGGTAGATAGGCCTTATTTTACCTCGCCAGGTGGAACAGAGATACCGTTGCCGTGAGGCGACACATTCTTTACAGCCTCTGAAAATGCCACTATCACATGTAATTCAACATGACTGGGACTATGGAAGAGAGTACAAGAGTACAGCCCTTCACCCGAACGCCCCAGGAGCTGATCAGACTGGTGGTCGGCTCTACAGGGTCTCCAGGCAGAACAGCAAAGTGGATATCTGCCACATGGTTGCGACGAGGGAACCCCACCTGCAGAATCTTCCCATATTGTGGCACAAATATGATCGGCGGTCGAATGATCTCTGCTTCGAGGTTTTGTCGAATGGCCCCCAACGGACGATCACGAAACGTGTTATTGCGCCTCGCACCACGCCCACATGTCTCAGGAAGCCTAGAGCCTGAGTTCGTGGCATGAACAGTTTACCTGAAACATGGTAGCATAGAATCTAGTGGCTCATGGGGGGACTCAGACGTATCCTCACACAGAGACACCTCTGCCAGATCGGTCTGAATCTCAATCTGCTTGTGCACACCAACAGGAAGATCATTATGAGCCTCTATAACGGTGATTACGCAGTGAACTTTCATTGAACAGAAACGGTATGTTGCGTACACACTCAATCCATGTCCATGTTTCACGAGCGCTCACAATTGTATATCTTCGAGACTTCAAGCGCTCGTTACCCGTTCTTGTGCAACAAGCACGGCTGCCCTAATGTTGGCCAGTTTTGCCTGGTTTGTTTGTCTGAATAGGACACAGTCTATCTCCTGTCTGCCTAAATGCGATTCATTGTTGGTATGCAACATTTCGCGAAGAACAAACATTGAGGCAGCCACCAACTATAACCTAACAAGGTGCTGCTATTGGACACATCGTCTAGCAGCGAAGATGAGGTTGATATTAAGTGGCGACTGCAATCGAGCTTTCTTATGTCTTGAGATGAAGGCACTCTGCATCTGTGATGTATACATATGCTCACACAGCGGGGAACTATACCATGATCAGTGGATGGCGTACTTCAAGGGTGAAGTCCTGGGGAACGCCGCACGGGAACCTGCCAGGAAATCATATACACACTGGTCAACCATAGAGTGAGAGAGGCTTCTCATGAAAGCAGTGAGATTTACTGCTAGTCGAGGAGGAAGCTCATGCGTCAGTTGTTTCCAATTGCCAATTATGACCTAGTAGTGTTATGCTAAATTTCCGATGGCATTTCACTCTATAGGCACGGTGTAAGCATTCATGCCATGGCTTTGAGATAGACAGCTTTTGATCATGCAGCTCTACCTACTCCTTAAAAGCTGAAGGCTCAGGCAAGGCTTACATAGTAAATGTCTAAGTTGGGTCAATTTGGTCAGATGACCTGATATCCATGATTGGAGGTTCTACCTGTCGCACTGACTCATCCGCCTCCGCATTCAATCAAGCTGGCTTCAATCCACCTCTCCTGAATCTTTCCCGTTCAATATATTAGCGGCGCAATGAATCACAAATGGGCAGAATTCTTCTTGCAAGGCTGTGAGCCGCACGTGATTCCCTTAAGCAATCAACCTGTTCGCGATCCGCTGAACTTCAAGGAATTCCAATGCCACGATGCCTGGGAAATAGGACGACGATTGCGTGATGATATGCCGGGACTGCATAGCATCATGGTGCTGGAATTAGAGGTGAACGGTGTAGCCAACCTGGTGGTGAAAACAGTATGTTGACACAATAAACAACACGCAAAAAATGACTAATTAAGAGATATTTCTTTGGAAAAGAGTATTTCGAGTCGATCAATCAACTAGACCCTTTTCTAGACGAGAGTCGAGCTTACGAACACATTCTCCTCAACTGCCCGCCCTCCAAATCAATCTATTTCCCAACATATCATGGTGTGATACTAAACTTGACACGGGAGAAATACCCTAGAAGCTATGCTCTGCGCCCTCGGGCCATAGTGCTCGAAAGAGTCGAACCCAACATACGCTGCCGACGTATACTTGGAACGCCTCCGACTCGAGAATATCATCTATTCGATGATTTCGTAGCGAAAATCGGGGGTCTGCCTCTCAGTGACTTCGAGAAGGAATGGTACATTTCGTTAGCCATTGACCGGCTAGAACGTCTTGCGGCGTTGCATGGCATCCAGATTCTTCACCGTGACATCTGTGACGAGCATTTTCGTCTTCCCAATGATTTCTACGATACCGTTCTCTATGATTTCTCTCACTCATACATCATCAATACGCCATGGCCATACGTCAAACGCCCCAAAGCCCTGCTAGCACTGATTCAACTCGAACAAGTCCAAGTTTTAAGCACTGTGCTCAGCCGGTTGGTCTCGCTTAGATCCTGGAGTCAACATGTGCTAACAGCTAGATAGTGCGAGGAGGTCAGATTTACGCACATACGTGGCTGCGACACTGAACCTAGACCCAACAACGGCTCTGGACTTCTGCTCCCAAGAGCTCGAAGATGCAAGGAGCAGTCTAGAGCTAATTTCTCTCAAGATCAGCCATCGACCAGATAGTGAGTTTTCCACTTTACCCCAATCAATGCTTGGCTGTTATAACATATTATAGCGTTCGCGCACCCATCTTTAGCATCAGTTCTTCCCTTCTTGGAATCCATCCGCCCTGACGGTCCTCCAACATGGCTTCTCACCAGGGCTCGACTTCTTCAAGATTACGAATCAACCTGGTTTCATTATACACCCGGGACAGACAAGCACTTAAAACTGATATCAGGCGTTGAGTGTCTTAGATTGGAGTCAGAAGACATGTCGAACGAAAAGTCCTATTTGCTTCTCTTGATTCCTAGATCTTGGGACTCGAAGGATCATAGGACAAGGCTCCTTACCTGTGCCGGGCTTATTGTGAATAAGGGATTGGGTCCTATGATCTCCAAGAAGGGATTCGAACAGCTTGACAGCTAGCCGTATAGTTAGAACACAGGCCACCAGGTCCGTGCCGTACGTTGTGGCGGGGCGACCAAAACCTGAGATCTTGGAAAGAAGCAGACTATTCAGGTTCACCAGTAATAAGAGGCACTAGCCAAACAAGTCAGTGCCCTCTCACAGTTTAATTCGCGCAGATAAGACTTCCCACCAAGCTCAACCACAAAGTGATACATACCACCAGAAGTCCTCCGGCGTGAACCTCAACGCTGTCGTGAATGCCCAATACTCAGAATACCAGCCTGCGGATTTCCAGTCCAGGAAGCCCGTGATGCGTCCCGCACGGACCATGATATTGTAGTGTTTCAAATCTCCGTGAGTAAAGACGATACGATGGGGTAGCTCATCCATCTTCCTGGCTCGATTCATCGCCTCTTAATAAGTCTCCTCGGACGCAAACCCACCCGACCAGGCAGGTTCCCTCAAATAGTCGTTGAGTTCTTGCTCCGATCTAAACGGACCGGCAAGATGATTAGACACCCGCGTTCCTACAATCAAGCAGATCCTGCTTTCGCCCCACGAATTCTCCCAGTTCCTAATACACATTGAAAACCGATCCAGCTGTCGGAACACCATCTCTTTCTCTTCGTCGCTTAGGGTATCATAAACCTGACCTAATTCCTTACCAGGAACCCGCGTTATCAGGATCGAAACCGGCGCATGCGGACTATCAGCATGCTCGCCATAGCAGATAACTCTGGGTACAGGAAGGCCGGCTTGCCTGGCGACTTGCATGGCCAAAACTTCCTCGAGCCGGGTACAGTACCATCCGACCACTTCAGAATAACCCCGAACAGAAGCTGGGCGATTTGATTATCGTAGGTGATCCCGGCCCAGCTCTAATAGGATCGGGAGAACCGTCGGAGGTATGTGTGGATGATGCCCCGGAATTGACGGACACGTGGGTGAGCTACGCGAGGGATGGGTGGAAGTTGGTCGCTTAGCACTGTTGTTTGCTCTATGATGATCTGACCAGGAGAAATCGGGGAGGAGCAGGCGGGGGAACTAGCCACTGCAGCATTTTGGCTGTATATTGCAGCGCAGCGACACCGTCAATGAGATGTTTAGGGGAATATGTATTCAATATCTATAACAATCAGAGACTAATTGTCGACCTGAGTCAATTGTTGGTGTCAATGTCCTGTCCAGACATTGTCAACTTGTCACGTCGTGTGAGGCGGTGTGACATATAGTTACTAACAGCTTGCGAGTTACCAGTCAGCAGGGTGTTGTTCAAGCGGACCAATGCGGGTGTCCGGACCCTTGCGACGTGATGACTACCGGGTCTCTGTACAAGGCTGATATCAGCCATCGATGGCCGGCGATATCTGTTTATGCTTAAGGTAAGTTAGCGATCGCGGAAAAGGTAAATTAACTTCTTTTACCAAATCTACATATAGAAGTTGCCTCTGGTTTACCTCGAATCGATCGATCATCAGAGCAGTTGACATCAATCCACTATCTAGCGCGATCGCAGAAACAGCGTTCATCGAGGATCAACTGGCGATAGAGTAACGCAAGCAATGACATCCATTGACGTCACATCTACGCCAGCCTTGGCAATCGATCACATCTGATAAATACATCCCATCTCCTGCAGCTCCATCACCTCTCTCCAAGTATTACCATATCAAGAACATCAGAATCGCTCAATTAAACACACCCGTGTCACAGATCACACACAACCCACAATCACTACCACCACCAAAATGTCCAGCACCATCAACACCGCGGCCGGCAACAAGCCCCTCGACCCCTACACAGCCAAGTCGCACGAGGACCCCCCTCTGCCCCAGAAGGTCGAAGACCTCGTCACGTTCATCAGTGACTCCAAGTTCGGCATGCTCACCACCAAGTCCTCGGACGATGAGCTCCTCACATCCCGCTGCATGGCGCTCGCCGGAAAAGTACGCCTCTCGAACAACTCCCCCCCCAGTCCTTTCCATCAAAGCTAACATGCGACTTTGCGAATGCACAGGAACACGGCGGCATCGACCTGATCTTCCACACGAACCTCTTCTCGCACAAGACGATGGATCTAACCACCCACCCCAAGGAGGTCAACATGTCTTTCCTGGACCCGCTCAGCGGCTCCTGGGCCTCCATCTCCGGCACCGCCACCATCATCTCCGACCGCGACACCGTCAAGAAGTACTACTCGCCCGCCCTGCAGGCCTGGCTGGGCGATTTGGGCGATGGCGTGCACGACGGTGGCCCCGAAGACCCCCGCATCGGCGTCATCAAGCTCGAGGCGGTGACCGCCCACTATGCGCTGGCTCGCAAGGGGATGCTCACCCGCGCCGTCGAGACCGTCAAGAGTGTGGCCACCGGGAACGTGCCGGCTATCAACAGCATCCGCGAGCTGTCGCGAGCGGAGCTGGAGGAGTGTAAGTTCATTTGCCTTTTCTCTCTCTTGTAAAGATTGTAAAATGGATACTAATGGGAAATGTTAGGGCGCCGCACGCACGCGAACGAGTAAATCGTCGCTGTTCGTTATTCGCTGAACCACGCAAGCCGTGGACGAGTGAATTACCCTATGATTTCATGACCCTGATGACACCTGTGCTAAGTAGCATGTCACTAGTATCATATTTGTATTAATTTGCAAATGAAAGACACATTATCCAATGGAAGAAAATCCAGACATGCGGGGCGTAAGCAAGTAGGGCTTGGTGCAGAACAAAAGTAAACCAATTATTGCCATGCTATCGCACCATATTATATCAAAGAGGCCGGTCCTAAAATTAGGAGTGCGTGTTGAGGGTATCACTAGCTTGGACTCCAATAGACGCCGTATAACAAAATAACCCCATTAAATCTATTCTCGCCGTTAGCGTTGCGCATAGAAGAAAGGTCCAGACACGACTCACCAATCGTAATGGCATCCGGGCCGGCACACGACCGTTATGTAGCAACATGGCGATGTTCTTATTGGGCGTCGCCTGCAGTTTGCGATAGGCTTCGCGGATGTGCTTGGGTTCGACAGGGGTGCGGCCCTCCTCAGGGGGATCGAAGAGTCCGGTCTCGCGCTTACGTTTCTTGGAATCCTCGCCATTATCTGCGCCGCCACGACGGTTCTTCTCTCGATCCTCCCGTTCCTTGACCTTGAGGGCCTCCTCGGTCAGCGTTTGCACTATCTCGAAGGTCAGGAACCCAAGGATGTCGACAATATCATCGTTAGGTTTCGACTCGGTGACGATTCCAAACCCCGCCCACTCCCGGAAACGCTTGCTCTTGCGGTAGGTGAAGGACGCCTGACGGCATTCCGACCAGAACACATATTCTTCCCTCGTCATGTGCTTGGTGCGTTCGTCGGCAGCGGCAAGGCGCTGCAGGGTGGCGTAGTTCTGCTCCTCCTCTTCTTCGTCTTCTTCATCCTCGCGCTCGGGAACCTGCACGGAATAAAAGCTGTTCACATCCCAAGCGAGACCGACGCGGGCACGCTTGTTCTTTGGCTTCGACGCGACATCCTGAGGCCCAGCCACGACGCCTCCGGCGATGGGGTCGTCGGCGGCAGCGAAGTCGGCCGCATCGGCGCCGCCCTTGTCGTCCGAGTCTTTGACGTTCTTACGAACATCTTTCCATGAGAGGAAGGTTTTCAGGCGAGACACTTTGGCCTTGTCGTGTCGGATCAAGAAGATCAGATCATCGGTGGAGATAGAGCGCACACCGCGGCGGGTTGCCAGAGCGGTGCTTCGAGCAAGCTAGTAGGGATGTTAGTGTCATTCAAAGGATGAAGGAAGCGACGAAGGTATCGTACAATTTCGACAACTTGTTGACGAACAATCTCCTCGATGAGAGTAGTCGTTTCAACCGAGGGTTCGGCAGTTTCCCCAGAGACGAACATCATCTGGCGCCAAGTGTTAGTCAATCGCTCCTTAAACTGTTCTTCGCTTTCGACGTCCACATCCTCTGGTTCATACTCTGAGCCAGGTGGGAATCCTCCTGAGAGAGCAAACATGCTGAGGGCTGAAGTATTGATAAGTCCGAAAGAGGGAATAGGGTACAGATAGGGATGGGAGGGATGTGTGAAGCGATACTGTCAGAAACAGTGACTTTGACTTGAGAGCAATCATGATGAACAGATAATTCTAAGCAGAGGGGAGCCAGGAAAGATAGAGTGAATGATCTCGGCATAATTTTGGCAAACGGATGCAAGTGAATATAGTAGTTCGGACCAACAACAGTTGGTATGGGCTGCTGTGAATGAACTTGATAGCAATCAAAACATGTGCAACCTAGATCCAAGAGGGGCCACAGTCTGGGACAAGCAATACAAGCATGAAGTGCAGATGTGCAGTACAGAGATGTGCAGTTCAATCAATTGAGCGAATCCAATGGTGCTCACTGACACGCTTACCTGCTGGATCTCTTGACGATACTTCGGTGTCCGATCTGTAGACATCTTCGCGAAGAATGAAGAGCAGGTCGCCTGGTCATCCCAGACAGACTGCACTGAGAATATACACAGACAGATGATCTCAGACTCCAACAATCTAGAGGCTGCTGAATAGAGCGTTCCCCAATAGGCAGAGCCCCAGGATATCCCGCGGAGGAGGCAGGCACGTCACCTGACACGCGCGTGCTTCCCCGATTCACATACTCGGATCATTAGTTCCTCCGCCTTCCACCGCATTTGGCGGGGTGATAAGGGAAACTTTCACGCCGCAATCAACATTCCCTGAAGAGCAAATTCACTCCATTGCACGATCAAAATGCTTTATCTAGTGGGACTCGGCCTTGCCGATGAGACTGACATCACCGTCAGAGGTCTGGAGGTGGTCAAGAAGGCCGAGCGCGTTTACCTCGAAGCGTACACAAGCATCCTCCTCGTGGAGAAGGAGAAACTAGTGGGTGCCTCTGCGCGATCATACTCCTAGCACATTGGTGCAGAGGTGGCTGACTGGGAGTGACTCATTCCAGTAGGAAGCTTTCTATGGACGTCCTGTTATTGTAGCGGACCGCGAATTGGTCGAGACTGGCAGCGATGACATCCTCGCTGAAGCCGACAAAGTCGATGTCGCCTTCCTGGTGGTGGGCGACCCCTTCGGGTATGTGTTTTCACCTTCATATGTTGTTTGATGGGGAGATATGCATGGGGATTGACAGCCAGCTACTAGTGCTACGACACACACCGATCTAGTCCTACGCGCCCGTGAATTGGGCATCGAGTCCAAGGTCATCCCTAACGCATCGATCATGTCCGGTATTGGCTGCACCGGCCTGCAGCTGTACAACTTCGGACAGACCGTCAGCATGGTCTTCTTCACTGAGACCTGGAAGCCTTCGTCCTACTACGACCGTGTCAAGGAGAATGCTGGGCTGGGTCTTCACACACTTGTCCTGCTAGACATCAAGGTCAAGGAGCAGTCCCTCGAGAACATGGCCCGTGGACGTCTGATCTACGAGCCTCCGCGCTTCATGACGGTTGCGCAGTGCGCCAGTCAGATGCTCCAGACGGAGGAGGAGCGCCAGGAGGAAGTCTGGACTGCGGATAGTCTGGCTGTTGGTGCCGCTCGTGTTGGAGCTTCTGACCAGAAGTTGGTTGCCGGTACTCTCAAGGAGCTGGCAGAAGTTGACATGGGCCGACCTCTTCACAGTTTGGTCCTGCTTGGCAAGAGGGCACATGATCTGGAGAAGGATTACATCAAACAATTCGCTGTGGACCAGGCGACCTTCGATGCCGCTTGGCAAAAAGGAGGCTACGGTACCATGTGAGGTACTGCTGCCGTGTAACGAATGATGTTGAACGAAATAGACATTTATCCCGCTGAATAAAAACAAGTGAGCCATCGGAACCGAGGTTTCCGAACACACCCAAAGCCAGCTTTGTGATGGAGATCAAGTCGATAGTGGATCGTCAAGCGTAAGATGTTAAGAATCACATCTCCCAGTACAGTCATTAGGCCGCTTTCCGACCAAAAAATCTTGTAAGCCGCTGGGGGAGTCGTACCTGCATAACACAAACACCGTCAGAGGTTATGGCACCCAGCAAAATAACTTTGGTGCGAAACGTACCGTTGCTGATGAAGGCGTCGCTGGTGGCGTCTGGTCGCTATCGTACTCTTCGCCATTCCCGTAGGATCCCTCGTCGTCGTCCATACTATCTTCTTCCTCCTCATCTGACAGAGGAAACCATCTCTCGGGATCGCCATTGTAGACAATATACCAACCGATCCGCTCGCCCGCAGCATACTTGTCGCGCATCTCCGTGATCGCCTCTTCGGCGGCGGTATCCAACGGCGACTTGGTGAAGAGATCCTCAGGCGTCCAGCTTGTTTCGGAGCAAGGGACTCCAGCTTCGGGGATAGAGATAACTTTCGCTGCGACGTAGGCGAAAGGCTTGCTGACAGCCGCATCACTCGTGTCTTCGGGGTCGTATTGCTCGATGAAGCGCATCTCCGGCAAGCGATCGACAATGCTGGACTCTGTCTTCTGGAACGATTCGAGAAGAAGCTCTGCGGTGGTTGGCTGCTGAATATACTCGGCGGTGGCGTCCTCGAGGTTGTGCAAGACCACGTAGACGCGAATCCCCGTGAAGCCGGCGCGAGGCCAGCGGAAGCCGTAGAGCATGTAAACAGGCATGGTGGAAGGGAGGAAACCGCGGGATGGGTAGCCGAGGGTGTTCTGCGACGGTAATCGTTGTGTGGCGAGAAGACAATGCGCTTTCAATGGTTCTAATGAGTGGACCGAGGGTGCAGCATCCCAGGAAGGTGAGAATGCAAGCTCATATTAGAGTGAGCAAGCGAGATGCAGCGCGCACTGCGCGGTTTCGCAGGGTGGATATGCAGGTGAAGAGTGGTCTATCGGTCCAATTGGTGACCGGAACGATAATGCAGATGGCGCTAAGTCCGATTCTTTGTTTTACTAAGCAGGGGTAACCAGGCTCACAAGGGCATCAATTGCCCATGTCCCAAAGCAGCATATGGAAACTGTATTGATGTAAGAGTTGTATGTCAAAACAATGGATCTTACAAAACCTAGACAAGAATTAGCTTGTGAAGTTCGCACTGTCGGCCTCAACTTGATCTCCAATCTTAGGCGGTGAGGCCCGGCAATACTGAGTCCGTCCCGCACTTCGGAGACAGATAGATGTAACAGCTTAAGCTGCAGCATCATTTCATTATTTCCGGAGGACATCCACTTATCAAACTAGACAGGATGGTCCTATCATTTATTCTTGTCCAGAATCGCCAGTAAGTGCCCGGCTAATATCCCTCACCCAAGAGAACTCAAGAGCTGACAGGAGACCGAACAGGGGGAAGACGCGGCTTGCCAAATGGTACGCTCCGTACAGCGTAAGTCTCCCGAACTCTGTGGCGGCTGTACTGGATCTTTTACTGAAAGACTTACTGCAGGACGAAGAGAAGGTCAAGCTGAAAGGCGAGGTACGTCATATCGGATTGTCATGGCAGCTTGCCCCCCGCATCCCACGTAGCGGCCGTTGAGCGATAGCTTACCAACCATTGCTGAATGCAGGTCCATCGCTTGGTAGCCCCGAGAGACCAGAAATACCAGTCCAACTTTGTTGAGTTCAAGCGAAGTACGAAGATCGTATACCGGCGATATGCGGGGTTGTTCTTCTGTGCCTGCGTCGACGCAACTGATAATGAGTTGGCCTACCTGGAGGCTATCCACTTTTTCGTCGAGGTTCTGGACCAATTCTTCGGAAACGTCTGTGAGCTAGATTTGGTGTTCAACTTCTACAAGGTGCGTGCGTGCGGTGTCAGCTATAGTTCGGGGGTTGGACCTGGGCATGGAGGGAGGGAAAGCTGGTGGAAGCGGTCGTGCCTTTGGCTCATCGGAGAACCACTCGCGGCTAACGGAGTTTCATACAGGTATATGCTATTCTGGACGAGGTGTTCCTTGCGGGTGAAATCGAGGAGACGAGCAAGCAGGTCGTGCTCACGAGGCTGGAACACTTGGACAAACTGGAATGAGGAGAAATCAGTATCGAGAAGGGTGGACTGCAAGAGGGTGCGGAGGCAAATGAAATCTTGCTCCATGCCTGTGCGGCTTCGATTTGGCTTCAGTTGCATACATGACCACGGGCTATGGTCATCACAGGAGTTAGGGCTTTCTTGGATTTGGTTCTTTTATGCGGGGAGGTTTTTTTCCCTCCTGCACTGTTACATACCTCTAGCGCTCGTCTGAAACTTCCTCAGGGCGACATCTAATGTACAAATTCTAATTCCCTACGCAAAAAGCATGTCTTGTGTTTTGTGGCCGATTCAAGATATGCAGTACATGCAAGCGCTCTTAGTGTGTTCCTTTTATCTTCGTAACCAGTTTCAGGGCCATTTTCAGGGTCCCCAGCGGAGCTTTCAGGGTTCAGACCTGCATGATTGAAAAAAACGAGGTCAAAATTGGCGAGGTCAGTTGAATGGTTGCTGCCTGGGGTTTCAACAGCCGAGAATGACTGCCGTGATGCTCGACAGGCGGATCATCCGAGACATCTCACAGCTGACACCGGACCACTCACTGCACCATGCCAGCAGCGCAATTAAGCTTATCTGATTGTCTCAGATCCAAGGGCAGGTTCGCTTCAATCCATTTGACGGCACCAGCGCTATCAACTTGAAGCAAAAAGGGGGTTCAGCTTACTGTTTTTCAAATGAGGTGATCGTGGGGATCGATTGCGAGCAACTCCCCGGCGATGGTGACATGCTCTTGGCAAGGTATACTTAATGAGCCCTACCCTTCAGGCATGATGGATTTAGTTTTGATTTTGTTCGACTTGATGCAGCATCAAACTGGAAACGCTGCCCCAAACTTCATTATGAATGTCCTTCGAATCAGGTCCTCTACCACAAGTATAGCATGGCACACCTGACAACAGAGCCGGCCTTCCTTGTCGGAACTTCACACCCTCGTCCCTTCTTCCTGTCACATGTCTTCACGAGCTCTTTTTCACCCTTGATGATCCAGCAAACGCTCCGCCAACTATGGGTCTGACGACCTAGAAGTAGTCCCATTGAGTGGGCTATTCTACTTTCCTATACGAGTGACGACCTTCGCGGAGACGGCAATCATGGCACGTATCGTCCTCAACAATGCAATACACACGGTAACAGACACAGCCTGCCTCGCCTCAGTTGCCAACTTGCCACACGATTGTCCCGTCCGTCTCCTTCGTTCGATGCTGATCAAACGCCGGCCCGTCCTCCGTAGCAGGTACTGCACTCGCCAAGGATGATCCTCATCAACTGTACGAGCGTGCTCAACAATCATACTTTCCCGCTCATTTGGCTCTCGCTTCGTCCTCGAGCCGTGATAGGCTTGACCCTGAGCCGTTACGTATCCCGACTACGATGGATGGAAATTTGAGCCGATGGTCCTTTCTATGGATTGACCCCGTCCCGCCCCCCATCGTGCTTCTCTATCGGTTCAACCGCCTTGCCAAGCCGTGACCGGCACCCCCTGACACGTAGGCTGATACAGACCGGTGTGATGGGGGGCTTACGACGATTCATTCAGGATAGATTGCAGCTGGGCTGATTGATAGGTGGATGGATCCACTGGGCGGGTGACTATCAAAATGGGGCTTGACTCCACTTCTGCAGTCCCCGACCTCCGAGAGCACGAAACGTCACGCCACATCGGGCTTGGTTACTTGTTTGGAAGCGGTACAGATATATTCGCGAGGAAATGGAGAGATTGAGTCGAAGAAACAGATCCGTACGACTTGGAAAAAAATCTCTATCTTTGGTGGTGAAGAAGAAAGCTACGATCAAAGACTTCTCCTGAAATTCACCTTATCAGATGGAAGGGCGTTCTGGTGGTGCTTTAGTCATGGCTGGGGAAGTTTTAGCCGACGGCTAACTTTTCTGGGTCCAAAGTTACAGCGGAAATGTAAAATTGAAACCAGAATCTGAAGCGTGGAATTTGCAACTCTCGAGCTTGATGCGTGGCCATAGAGCTGCTGCTTGTGGCCGTAAGAGAGGAAGCTCAAATCATGAATGGATCCAGGATCGTCTGGGCCTGAGCAAGTGTGGATGCAACCTTCTTCTAGGCCGACCAGCGGGTTCCCATCACCAACCAGCAGCCACTGACGCAGACTCCATCGGGTGTAAGTGTGTTTGACTTTGATCAAGTTCAAGTGGTTCTATTACATGGAGTCATGGACCAAGTTACGGTTTTTGATAGAGTCATGGTCTAGCAGCAATGTCGGTGTGACAAGGTTGTCGAGCCGGTCGAAATACGCTGTGATTAATTGTAGCCTTCTGGAACCGGTACATGGTCCGATTACCAGGATGGCAACCCTCGAGTTTCAGCGAATAGGACAGGCGTGGACATGGTTTGACCAGAGCAACAAGGGTGAAGCCTACCACCGGTCTCGTGGGAGCAGTCGCAATCCTTTGGTGCACGGGTCCTGTGGCGGACGATCGATAGCTCAAAGGCTTATCAACGGCAGCTGTGGTTCTGCCATGAAGACGAAGGCAAAGTAGGTTAAGCGTCTAACCAAAACGCACGGAGGAGCAGGACTCCGCTGGAAGAGGCCGCTAGGCGGAGAAATTGTGGTCTCCGATAGAGTGGCTATCGTTGACCCTGGAAGGTACAGTTCATGACTGAACTCGAAGTGTCGAGATGCTGCGAGTGACGGCCTGAGTAGCAGCAGCCATAGACATGGGCATTGCACCATGAATATGGCCGAAGGTACAACTGCCCGGCAAGTTTATATTGCGGTGTCCTAATTTGATGAATGCTTCGTATGCTGTTGATGTGCGGCCAAACGTTTGTGGTGGAGGAACAGCAACTGAGGATTTTACTGCACCTGCACTCTGACGACTACGAAAAGGGAATGATCGGACCGGTGTGACTCGCGAAGCTCGCTGATCTACCCCAGCGTTCTTAGAAATTCTCCATGGACTTCATTCGAGTATTTGCGGAATATTTGTTTTCATCAGGCGTGGACAACGACTCTTCGATCGTCCCTCAAACTCTCCCATGGCACATCCAGAGGGACTAGGAGCTCAAGTCCCTTCCCATCCGTGACCCGACCAACCTAGTCGGATGCCCTGAATAGCAATGCAGGGTTCTCCTTTACAGAACCCTGCTGGATGTGGGGGAAATCAAGATCGAAGACGTTTCAGCACTTCAGACTTCGCTCGTATCCCTTTCAACATTGCGGTTTGGTGCGGTATGGCGCGGAGACTAGACCGGACCTTTACAGATTGTTTGTTGTTGCTCGGTGATGATGACGACAAGGGGGCTGGCAACGTATGGCTTCGACGGTGCGGATCCCGTTTATCCATCATCGTTTTTGCATGACGGAGAAATGTACGCGTCGCATGCGGCAGGACCACCAATCAACGGGCGCAAGGGCACGGCCCGACTGAGGAGGACAGAGCTTCCAGACTCTCTCGCGCCGGCGACAGGGCGCTGATGGCCAAGTGAAGCATGAGACTGCTGTTCCAGCGATCAGCGAAACGAGGAGCTACGCGGCCGATCTGCTGGGTTCGCGGCAGCGAGGCTTGGCACTTCTCCAGTTTCTTGGTCCATGAAACCGTTTATTGGTTTTCAAATTTCTGTCACAGACTCACAGTCGCATTGCTGGAACAACATGTGCCCCACCAGGAGAATTGGCACTTGCGGCTACACTTCCTTGGATATCCGTCCCAGTGCCCTCGCTTCTGAATGGCACAGAGGTCGTTGAACTCTTGGCGACGGAGTAACTGCGGACCATGGCTGGTCAAGTAGGCGAGCAGCTCAAACCGCCGACCCCTGACTATCTTTGCTTTGTATCGAGGGAGGAAGAAGGATGGTGAGGGGGAAGGACGAGAGAACGTCAGCCGGTGACGTCTGGCTCTGCGTGATCTGTGCCTGCTTGTCTCAACTGTTGCTTTTGGGATCTGTTTCATATGTATGCTTTTTTATTCTGGGTATGTGTCGTATGTTTCGTATGTATGTCTATCATCATGCTGCAATTGCGGACAATATTTTCCGCTGGGTGTCGCACTCTCTCCTCCCCCTTCATTTGGGGGGGAAAGCTGTTGTGAAGAGGCAGAGACGATCCAGAACGTGAGTGGGGGGCCGGGGGGGGGGGGAACAATAATGGAAAGAACAATAGAATTCCATTCAAGGTCTTAGCCGTCATGGCTCGACGGGGTGGTAGACGGGGGTGTAACAGTAGGCTGTATTGCAAATACACCTGTTACCTCATCCTACCAAGTACCAGTACGGAGTAGATAGCTCGATTGATGGCTTGCACTGGAACAATGGTTCCCACGCGTACCTTTTTTCTCCTCCTTTTTCATTTTCTTTTTCTTACGTTGCCCTTACGAACCTTAAAGGAAAAAAAAAGTGTCAATTTTTCCGTTACGAAATCAATCTAAAAATGGAGAAGACAGGTTGCCATCAACCACTCACAATCTGCTCGTCATCTATTCGAGAAGCAGTGAATTTCCTCTTTCTGACTTCTCTCGAGTGGATCTGGGAGTAATTGATTGCCGCATCGGCACTAGTAAGCTTTCTGCTTCTTATCCTCCACCACATACGACGAGTCCATTGCAAGTTGACTGTTGGGTCTGGATGCGCGTTGATCTACCCGCTTTCTCCTTTTAATGTCCTGCCATCGCCAGTTCAACATCGACTTTCTTCTCTCCCTTCTCAGCTTCATCTCGTGTGATCTTATCTTTATTTGCCCGGTCTGACCTGTCTTGCTGGACGCTTCTTTCCTTGTTTCACTCCGGTCTTGTTCATATCAAAGACTCTCGTTACAATCACTACCATCGCCGCCGCCGAGGCCTTTATTATCTTGCCGTGGCTTATCGTGCCCTAGACTTCAACTCTCTATAAACACATTCTAATTTAGATTTCTCCTACTCAACCATGTCCTTGGTTCACTCCGACAACCTGGCTCCTCAGCCATGGACCGACATCTTCACCGAGGATACCTGCATCGATAGACGGCAGTGCCACCGGACGGTGCCGATGAAGGTGCTTGCCCTGGGTGTGGGAAGAACGGGAACAGCTTGTACGTGTCATTCCACAAGCCACACCGTCAATGGCCGGCGCCACTAACATTGCACCTTCCCAACAGCCCTCCGCAAGGCCCTTGAGCGCCTTGGCTACATGAAGACCTACCACATGATGTCCGCCAGCATGGAGAACCCGCCAGACTGCTTGATGTGGCACGATGCTCTGAGTGCCAAGTACGACGGCGTGGGCGAGTTCGGTAGAAAGGAGTGGGATCAGCTTCTGGGTGACTGCCAGGCCGTGTGCGACTGGCCTGCCTGCGCCTTTGCTAAGGAGCTGATTGAGGCCTACCCTAACGCCAAGGTCATCTTGACCACCCGTGAGGTCGAGTCTTGGCACGCGTACGTTCCATTCCATCCCACCTTCCAGCCGGGCACCCCGCTAATCTGTCATGCTACAGTTCCGTGATGAAGACCGTTTGGTGGCGTGTGTCGGATCCCGAGCACCGATTCGTCTCGAACTTCAGCTGGGCCGCCAGCATGTACTACCCCATGCTCAACAAGTTCTTCCAGACCTTCTTCCGGGGCGACTTCCCCAACCAGGGCAAGCAGGTGTACCTCGACCACGTGGAGGAGGTCCGCAGCCTGGTGCCCCCGGAGAGACTGCTCGAGTACCAGATTGGCGAGGGCTGGGGCCCGCTCTGTGAATTCCTGGGCGAGGAGGTGCCTGACACCCCCTTCCCCCGCGGCAACGACATGGCCGACTTCTTCAAGCGCTGCCGCTCCCGCAACAGGCGCCAGATGCTGAACGCCGCCCTCCAGGCATTCACTATGGGTGGAGCTATCCTGGCCACCGGCTTGGCTGCCACCATGGCCTTCAAGCGCTTCTCTCGGTAGAGGGTGGTTCGTTACTTTGCGTCTTCATTCTGTGGTGTGCGCTGGCCGCCGATCGCCACAGGTTTCTGTTTTCTGTGTTTTGACTATCATATACCGATGAGCGTACCGACCCTCAGATCCAGGGTTGGATTATTGTTATAATGCGTGATTCTATCACTTGTGAGATTTTTTTCTTTTTATTTGTGTTGGGCAATGGTAGGACTTTTATGTACGGACTGATTAGACGGGATATTGGCAAGGAAAAAGCATTGGGCGGATGGCACTTTTGGTTTTCGCTCAACTACATAGCATGAAGGTAGTCGCTAATATCACTGGGCGCCAATCGGAATGGAATGAACTCAATATTCTTTGCACATCGCAAGTTTTCCCTTCTCACTGTCTTGTCCCTGCAGTACATAACAACAGTACAGTATAGTACTCCGTTCATTTGTGGACGGTAGGACAAATGGTCTCGGCATGCATGCATGCATGCATGCAGCGGGCCAGCCCCCCGGCGCGCCCTACAGGGTGCGTGCATCCTTCCTGGCCTTGGCAACCCAGCCAACGACGCCCTGCACTTGTTGCACCTGTGGAAAGTAGTCGTAGCTAGAGCTTAATCAGAATGCCAAGCGACTCGAAGCATGCTGACGTCCGCTGCACCCATCACTCAATTAGGTAGGACAGCTGCTGCTCAGTATAAACAGGTCAACCACTGTAGCTTTTTCTTTTGAGCAGATACACAAGATTGCGCATCGGTAGCAAGAGCAATACATCCAACCTATCCGTGGTCTGAATCCAAGTGCAGTCCAGTAGCATCCATAGCTCAGACGGCTGCTACCTTCAAGGTTCTTCATACCACCCACCGTACCTCATTCAGAAAGAACAAAGATGCCCAGGTAGTCACAGTCCTATGTAACGCCAGCGTCCCAGCGTCCCAGCGCCCTCCAGACAAAAGGAGACAGGAAACATCGACGAAACACTACAGCGAACCCTCTCCTTTAAGTTACATCCTCTACCGCAATCTCAAGGCCTGGAGCAACAAAGAGCAATTGGACTCCTTCCGCAACACTAACCGCAATCCGGGCTCTCCACTTACGCACGCATTCGCTCGCCAACCCAAAATCTTTGCCCCGAAGCTCTCTAAGCCATCGTCCCGTGGCGGCGTGACGCGGCGGGCGGCGGGCGGCGGCGCGCTTCCCCCTGCGACCGGCTGTTCGGGAAACGGTTCGAGGCTTGGCGGGCGCGTACACAGTAGACTAAGTCTCGACGCTAAAGGGGATGGTGAGTCGATGACTGAGCGGGATTTGGGAAAGCCGTGCATACTACTGACTACGTACGTGGTGGATTTGTTTGATCCCTGAAAGGAGAAAACAAAAAGGACAGAAAGAGGGTTAAGGGTTGGCTTGGTTGGAACTTGGAGGTTTGAGTGGTGTTACAGATTATCGGACAGGGGGAGGGGAGGGGGGCCCGGCCCAGCCCGGCCTGGGTTCGGGATAAAACTTACCCCGGGGAATAGGCGGGAACTGGTATTGTTTCGGTAAGGATTTACTTTTCTACAAAGTACGAGTAAGTTATGAGTATTCGGGTGAAGGCCCGGTAAGTTCGGGTTCGTTATCAACTAACCTTCCTGTGTCTGTGTCGGAGATATCACAAACCTCGCAATGTTCGGATGTATCGTTGTTGGGATATCGTGGTTTGGTTTGTCGGTGTAGAGCTATACTGGTTGAGTGTTTCCAGGGCTCATTGGCGCTGGTTTGGGATTTACTGGTCAAGTCACCGAGTTGTGATTTGATTCTAAGCGCTGAAACGCGGGGAGGGGAAATCGTGGGATTGAGGTGACGACGACGACAACAGATGAAGGACTATTCTTAGGTCCGAACCGCGCAAGACAGACAGTCAACTGACTTGCAGGACGGAGGGCATCTCCTGAGAATTGAATCGTCTCGACAAACCCTCCTCCACGAGCCTTTCTGCTTCTTTGGTCCAGGAAGGAAGATCTTCAACGTGGATGATGCTTGACTATCAACACCGAAAAATGGCTCTGCGGAAGTGATCGGTCGATGCGCAACGAAGATGCATTCAATCTTATGGATCATATCGTCGATGCTCTTCGAAGAGAACCCGACAAATCCTGATCCCACCCGCCAGCTGCAAGAACGCAATAAACCATGACCGACATACGTACGACCAAGCAGTAGTGGATCCTGTCTCGGCAGTGATTAGGTACGTTGGCGATGCTTGGCAGCCTCCACTTACGTCGCCGGCCCAAGAAGTCGATGCGCTCAAGCATTCGGTCCCAGTATTCGCGGCCTCGCATTGGCCTGCCACTCTGGAGCTTTGCATGTTCGTGCGTGGGAGTTTCGGACGGACAGTCACAGGCTTTGCTTTCCCAGCGTATCCGCTGTAAACTTCTTATCAAGTTAGGAAACATGATTTTTTTTACTAATCCTTTCTCTCTCGTCCCTCCTGCGGGTTTCATTGTTGGCTGTTCTGGCGTTTCGTTTGGCGTGGTTGAGTTGACTTGCATTCAGTCGCTCTCTGGAAGTTGAGACTGTATTCTGCTTTCAAGGTTGGAAGATCACGAATCTTCTTTTCTTTCTTTGTTCTCGTCCTCGTTTTTGTCATCGCATTCCTTGTTTCCCACACATACTGGGTGCGACGGATGCACCGCTGAAGGATCGATGATCGGCTCTATACGCAACCCGAGCGGCTTTGCTCCGTCCTTCTTTCTGATCTCCCTGGCTATACTTTATACATTCTTACCATCAGTCACGGCGGAGGTGGATTCGGTCTTCAAATCGGTAAGCATTTATATTAGCTGTGGCAGCGGCGTGCACGCCATAAAGCCAAGATGTTCGCCATGCGGATCACTAACCTTGTGTCAACGACCGTCGCAGAGACCCGACCTCTACCCGCCTGTTCTCACCTTGGAACATCGCAACCCCGACAAGCTCAGCCCGGGCTATATCTTCGTGGGCCCTTATGAGGCAGCCAACTCGGGGCCGTATATTTATGATGACGAAGGGGTATGTGTCCGTCATGAAATTCCGACCAGCCACATTTGCTGATTACTTTTAGAATCTAATCTGGAGCGGATGGGGTAATTCCGGCCCTGGAAACGCTCATGGCATGCATGTTTGCCAGTACCAGGGTAAAGACCATCTCTGCTTCTTCCAGGGCGTTCAGCAGAACGGGTACTGTCGCGGCCATGGCGTGATCATGGACAGCAATTATCGGATCGTCCGCACTGTGGTCCCCGGCGGAGGCATGGCATCCAGCGATATGCACGAGTTCAAGCCCATCAACGACGGCAAGACTGCTCTGTTGACCGTCTACCAACAGAGGCAGTTCGATATGAGTTTGTGGAACGTGAAGACGGGCATGGGATGGCTGATGGAGAGTGTCTTCCAGGAAGTCGACGTCGAGACTAACGAGGTGCTATTCGAGTGGAAATCGCTTGACCATGTTGACCCGTCAGCGGCCTACACCTGGCCCAGCCACACGGACACCTCGGGCACTGGGCTGGACCCGCGCTCGCCCTGGGACTACTTCCACATCAATTCCATCGATAAGAACAGCGAGGGCGACTATCTGATTTCCTCGCGCCACACGTGCGCGATCTACAAGATCTCCGGCCAAGACGGCTCGGTGATCTGGCAGTTGCACGGAGCCAACCCCTCCTTCAAGAACATCAACTTCAGCTTCTCGCAGCAACATGATGCCCGCTTTCTGAGCGAAAATGCCACCCACACGCTGCTGTCGCTTTACAACAACGGCTTCAATGGCTTCAACCGGACGCACGACTATTCCTCGGGCATGATCATCCTGATCGACCACCGCGATAACACCGCGACCCAGCTGCTGGAATATGCACCGCCGGGCAAGACCATGATCAGCTCCAGCCAGGGCAACTTGCAGGTTCTGCCGAACGGTAACGCGTTCATCGGGTGGGGCAACAACGCCTACATTTCCGAGCATGACGAGCAAGGCAATCTTCTCCTGTGGGGATACATCGACAAGGATCGGATCATGAACTACCGGGCGCAAAAGTTTCAGTGGGAGGGCAATCCGACCGACGTGCCGGCCATGTGGACCTACGCGAAGTCGAGCGAGACGTACGCCCCGACGACCTTCTATGTCAGCTGGAACGGGGCGACCCGCGTGAAGTACTGGCGCTTCTACGGCGCGCAGAACGCCACCGGCCCGTTCATGTTGATCAAGCAAGTCGCGAGGGACGGCTTCGAGACGAGCTACACGGCGGGCGAGTTCTACCAGTGGACCTACGCCGAAGCTGTCGATGTGGAGGGTCAAGTGCTGGGCAAGTCCCGGAGCCTGTTCACGTTTGTCCCGTCGGCGGAGTTGCGGAACTTCTGTGCGACCGATGCGTGCGAGAATGCCCAGTCGTATGGCATGCCAAATGAGGAGGGCGCTGGGCCCGCGATCCCGCCGGCTGGGATTATCACCGTGCCCTGGGTTGAGCCTGGTCATCCGGACACTTTGTACGACTGGGGACAGACGAAGCCGTCCGAGGGAGAGGGAAAGGAGGCGGAGGCGCACAGTTCAGATAAGGCCTACAGTAAGTTTGACCTCCTAGCTGGCAAGATGACCGGAAATGATGCTGATACGAGTCTAGACAATGTAGGGTGGATTGCCCCGGTCTTCGGGTTTGTGGTTACGGTGGCGGCTATCTACACGATCCATCGGGTCTATCGACGACGGCAGCAGGATCTCAGCCGGGTCAAAGAGCGCGCTTCCACGGAGCATCTGGATCAAATGGAACGGGCCCCGCACTCAGTGGAAGCGGACGAGCTTCCCTGGTGGCATTGGCGTCGATTCGTGGGGAGACAGCTGCCGCGGTATACGCCCCTGGCCGAGGGACAGGGCTCGGCATGGCATCAGGGAGAGCATATAGAACGGTAGCAGCTTTTGTTTTCGTCTCCTAGGGTAGATATTAGAATCATTCGATATGATCCATGATTCATATGGTAGGATACAATATGAGTCTTGTCATTGGGCAGAGTGCCTCGGACTTAAGATGTGATGACAATACCTTACTCCGAGGTCTGAGCCACAATCCGTTCGTCATGAGGGTGGATGATCCACCCAACCCCGGAATAGGCCTTGCCTCGTGCATAAGACAGAAGGTCTGATAGGAAACGGAAGCAGGTCACCCATGCAGGCATACGTATGGACTTGCGTAAGAGGTTGGACGTTCAGTTGTGTCATCCCTCGCGTATTGATTGGGCCAACATCTGGGTATACTAAGGTACACATGTAGGTTCTCAACAATTGAGCCAGCACAATTGCAGGTGAGATTGGTCTTTGTTCTCGAATCGATTATTATCGACTGTCAGCGGAGATCGCCTACCAAGTATAGAGGAATATCCCTGCCCGCTTTGTAGAAACGATTGACGACAACCTCCTTGTCGAGAATCTCCAGCAGATTCGCGCATCAATGCTTCGATAGACAATAGAACTCAATGAGCATAACCGGCATTGTCACTGGGCCCTGTCACTCTATAAATACAACTACAATTTACAACTACACCTACACATCCAACCCCTCTTCAACCACCCCCCTCCAACGTAGCAACTCACACCCCAAGTAAGTAAGAGTATATACTACACGTAGAGGCAACTGTCCCCGATAGAATCCGCCAGAATGCGACCCGCGTTCCCCGACCACGCCGTCCGCCACGACGACGGCATCTACGGCCACTTCACCAAGCACTACCTGAGCCGCCACGGGTACTGCGACCGCGACCACGAGCAGGTCTTCGTGGTGGTGACCGTCTCCCAGGAGCTGATGGACCGGCACGACTGGGCCTTCTACGAGGAGCAGCTGCGGCTCGAGATCGAGGGCGAGCGCATCAGCAAGCCCACCGCCGAGGCCGTCTTCGGCAAGATCCAGTGCGCGGGCGTCGCGCGCCACTACAAGGAGTGCGTCGGCCCCGAGCGCGTCACGGGGCCCGACATCCTCGCCGTCGAGATCGGCGGCCGCGTCGAGCACAGCACCTCCGACGACTTCTGGCTGCTCCAGGAGTGGTATGAGAACACGCTCATGCCGTACTGGGGCCATCCGCCGCTCGCGGTGCCCGTGGAGGGCGAGGCGTATTGGCCGTTTTTGCGGTTTGGGTGGTGGTAGGTTTTTTTCTTTTTCTTTTTTCTTGTCGTGGATTCTGCGGTGAAGGGGAGAGAGTGAGATGACTTAGATGATAATATCAAATTAAAAAAAAGAGAGAGAGGGAAGCCTCGTACTCATAACAATAATCAATGGTTTGTACTGTACACCTCACATGTATTGCATAACTCAGTATTGGTGACGATAAGTTAGTTGGAGACCAAATGCTCGGGTGCCAAGCCTGGAGGGTGGAGAATTGCGTCGCAAGCCTTTTTTCGGCTACGCTGTAATTTACACCTGGTACTCTCGGCCGTATTGGGTATTGCGATTTTGCAGTTTCTATCTATCCCTTTACTGTCTGTACTGTCGGTCACATCGCTTCATTTCACTCCCGCTTCATTTCAGTTCAGTTCAGTTCATTTCCACGCCCACCCCCGAATCAAGCAATTGAAGGCGATGGGGGAGCTGTTTCGTGTTCGATGATCGTGTGTTTAGTTTCTAATTCTATTCTTTCTTTCTTTCTTTCTTTCTCGCTCTCTCTAGTACTGTACTTTTATCTTTCTTTGCATCTGCTCTGCTGCATCATCAGCATCGTCACTGTCACTCTTTTCACCGAATTGATTCCTCTCATTGCTGCAGCTGCAGCCAGCATTTACCGTCCGGGTCTCCGACTGACTTAACTTATAGACTATAGCGCATAGCCCACTGACCCATTTGGCCCCTCCTTGCGTCTTTTTGGTTCCTTTCCCTCGACATTCCTGCTGTCTATCCTCCTATCACAACTCGTGCCGATGCCCGTCCCACGAACCGCATCCCAAGGAACCGGCCGGCGACCATCCTTGACGCTTAACGCCGCGCCGCCTCTTACGGCCACTTCCACCACATCATCCTCCGCCATCGCTTCGCCTCTCCCACCAACAACCCCCAATCCCCTCTCTGCCACTTCCACCTCCTTCGCCCAGTCCACCAAGAATCGGCATGCTGCCCGTCATACCAGAGCTACCTCGTGGACTTCCGGCCACGACCAAGGCGGCGAACCCTCGCCCTCGACCTCTGCCAATTTTCCGCTCCACCAACAACGTCGTCGTCGCGAATCCAACCTCTCGCTAGCCGACGTCTCCGAAGGCTCCTCCGGCCGCTACGAGGACTACGACCACGACTCCCACAACATGGCCTCGAGGAACACCTCTCTCGACTGGGGCCATGCCCGCAGTCGCTCCCACAGTCAATCACAGACCGCGATGTTGCGACCTCAAGAACTGGCCGATACGCCCTCCGCGGCGCCCGTCTCGCGCCCCGCTCCGGTGACCTGGATGTCGCTGCCGAAGAAGGGCCAGCTCGCGCTGCTGGGGCTCTGCCGTGTCTTCGACTTCTTGCAGATTGCCTCCCTGCAGGCCTACATGTTCTATCAGCTGAAGTCCTTCGACGAGAACCTGTCCGACGCCGATGTGTCCACCCAGGCCGGCATCCTGCAGGGCGCGTTCACCGCCGCGCAGTTTGCGACCGCCATCCCCTGGGGCCGGGTGGCCGATGCGGAGTGGGGCGGCCGGAAGTTCGTGCTGCTGGTGGGCTTGCTGGGCACCGCCTTGTCCTGCCTGGGGGTCGCCTTCGCGACCTCGTTCGCGCAGGCCGTGTTCTGGCGCTCCTTCGGCGGGGCCATCAATGGGACTGTCGGGATCATCCGGACCATGATCGCGGAGAATGTGAAGGAGAAGAAGTACCACTCGCGCGCGTTTTTGATTCTACCAATCGGGTTTAATGTGGCCGCCTTGTTTGGTCCCGGTGAGTGTGACGCCATCTACCGGGATTCTTGGGGGTGGGTTGACTAATGGTTGTATGATAGTGATGGGCGGGATGCTGGCCGATCCGGTCAAGGCGTATCCCCGGTTATTTGGGCCCGACTCGTCGTTCGGCGGTGCCAACGGCGTGCAGTGGCTGATCCGCTACCCCTACGCTTTGCCCATGCTGGCGAATGCCATTTTCTTGTCGTTCGCGGCGGCGTGTGTCGCCATTGGTCTGGAAGAGGTAAGTGGCTGGGTCTTGGCAGTGTGGTTCAACACTAATTGTTGCAGACCTTGGAGGCTTGTAAAGGCAAACCCGGGTTGGGGGTCTTCTCGATGCGCATTTTCGCGCGCGGTGTTCGCGCCGTGGTGCCCTCGTCCTCCCCGCTGTACCACCGGCTGCCGTTCGCCGACTACGAAGAGGCCGGCCCTCTACTGGGCCGCCGGGATACGGCCGAGAGCTACGAGATGGAGGAGAAGGCCACCAAACACACTCGCCAAAGCCGCAGCTTGCCCTTCCGTCGGATCTGGACCAAGAACGTGCTGTGCACGCTCCTGGCGCAGGCCTTCTTCGACTTCCAAATGGGGTATGTTTCTGCGGTTGTGTTGCATACGACGTCGATCTGACCATGACCCAGTGCCTTCAACAACCTGTGGCTGTTGTTCCTCTCGACGCCGCGCTACGACGCCAACGACCCCACGAGCCCCCTGCAGAAGCTGCCGTTCGTCTTCACCGGCGGCCTGGGGATGCTGCCGCAGAGCGTGGGCTTCGCGACCGCGATCCTCGGCATCATCGGCATGCTCCTGCAGTTCACCATCTACCCCAGTATCAACGGCCGCCTGGGCACGGCCAAGAGCTACCAGTACTTTTTGACGTTGTTCCCCCTGGCGTACGCGTTTGCGCCGTACATCGCCCTGGCGCCGTCCACGGTGCCGCCGCCGGGCCAGGCCAACGGCGGCTGGGTGTGGTTCTCGATCATCGTGGTGCTGTTCCTGCAGGTGACGGCGCGCACCTTCACGCTGCCGACCTCGATCATCCTGCTGAACAACTGCTCGCCGCACCCGTCCGTGCTGGGCACCATTCATGGGATTGGCCAGTCCGTGTCGTCTGCCTTCCGCACCATCGGGCCGATCTTTTCGGGGTCGTGGTACGGGTACGGGCTGGAGATGGGCATGGTGGGCTTCGCCTGGTGGCTGGTGGCGCTGGTGTCGGTGTTCGGCTGCGTGGCGGCGATTTTCGTGTATGAGGGGTCGGGGCATGAGATTATTCTTCCGGGGGAGGAGGAGGAGTAGTAGTAGTAGTGCCTCGGTTTTCGAGTTTTTGGTCTTGATCTCTTTGCTTGTTGATATTCGCTGTATATAATTACATGCGGCCGTGTCCAGGATGATGGTGTTTTGGATATACTGGCTGTCGCATGCTTGCATATTTGGTTTGTTTATGAGCGTTCGCTACTGATACCTGTTGCATTTTGCTTGTTGCATGCGTGGATGACGGAAAACGGGAGGTTGGGAGGGGGGGGGGAAGGATAGATGACGAATACCATAGATTGATTCAGTCAAACAAGAAGAGGTATAATAAACCAGCGTAAGTATGCACACGAATCGTAACCACCACCACCACCACCGGTCCCAAAGCCACGTGTAAGCCAAACTACCGCCTCAACGCAGCAAACCGCCTCGTCAACTCATCCAACTCCGGTATATCACTCTTCGCTTTCGCCCCACTGGCAGGCACTCCAGCCTCGCCCACCGTCGTCGTCGTCGAGGGCGGATAATCCGCATCGCCGGGCACCCTCACGCGGGGATGCAAATTATCCACCCTGGGCCCCGGCGGCGCCACACTCACGAAACTCTTCCCCTGCTGCCAGCCCCTGGGCGGCGTCGCCTGATTCAGCGCGAGGGTCTCCGACGCCCGGCGCGCTTCGCTCTCGACCGGCGAGCGCTGTCGGCGTATCGGTGTCGACGGATCTCCCCCATTCCCGGGGGCACCATCCCCATCATCACCATCATCATCACCATCACCATCCAACCCAGAGGTCGTCGGCACATCCCCACCCCCCTCAACAAGATCCTCCCCACCCCCCCAAGCAACGCCATAAGCCCGCGCAATCTCCCTCAGATAACAATCCACCAACTCGGCCGACGGCGCGCGCACGCGCAGCACCTTGACCACGCGGGCCGGCACCCGCACGCCCGGCACGGCATCCTCCTGCGCCAGCGCCATGAACTCCTTGCCCCACCGCTCACCCAGCAGGTTGCGGAGGATCGTGAGCTCGCGCACGTCATGCGGGAAGCGCGGGTACGCGTAGAAGATCACCGCCGCGGCCTCGTCGAGGGCGGCGTCGATGTACTCCTGCCCTGCAGTGTCCGTACCGTTGTCTAGTGGGGTGGGGGGATGCTCCGCTTCGGCTTCACCGGGGGGATTGGAAGACGGTGACGGTGCGTGTTTCCCCAGCCCGAAAAGCGAGAACCTGCCGCCTAAACTTCCGCTGGTCTCCCCCGACGTCGAGGCGCTATGCTTCCCCCCGGCGGCAGCGGCCAGTCTCGCGCGAGTCCGGGCCTGCGCGCCCTTCTCCCCGAACGCGGCCTGGTCGAGCACGTTCGCCCGCGCCAGAAGTAACTCGCAGTACAGCTCGACCATCTCCATGGCTTCGACGGCGGTGTCGGTGGCGATCACATTCTCGACGCGGATGCGGGCGCTCGTGTCGCGGCCTTCGGCCAGTAAACTTGACAGGTCGCGGCGCTGGATGACGCTGCTGGCGGTGTCTTTTTTTTGGAGGAGGCGGAGGCGCGGGATGAGGAGGTGGAGGGTGCTGGTTAGTTTTGTCTGCAAGGCGGATTAGTATAAGGTGGTGGGATCGGGGGTGGTGTTTGGTGTTTGGTGTTGGTGTTGGGTGCGGGGTTTGAGGTGCGGGGGTTTGTTTTTGGAAGGATTTGGGTTTGGGGTGGTGATGGAAGCTCATGGTCAGAGGAAAAAAAAAGGCAGACGTACCGTTTGTGGGGAGGGAGGCATTTTGAGAGACTTCCAGACTTCCAGACTTCCAGACTTCCAGTTCTGTGGTGTACACGAAAAAGAGAGTGCGATGGAAGACGGAGAAGCGGAGGATGGCTGGAGATACGGAGTCGGAGTGTGGATGACGCTATCGTCCTCCCTCCCGCTTGGCATTTCCGAGGCCGGTTGTTTTGGTTGCTACGAATATACTCCCTTCTTCTGTCATCTCCCCTTCCTTCACTTTCCTCCTTACGACCCACAACACATTCTACTCTTACTCACGTCGTACCCACGAGCAACGCAATTGCCAACCACTCTCAAGATTAATATTAACATAAAACTCATCAATCAATAAAATACAAGAACATCGTATCATAAGGGTATACAATAATATAAGGTAAAATGTTCCTGTCGAAGTGAAGTGAAGAAGAAACAGAATTAATGTAGTAAATGAAGGTCAGGCATGCAGTCTAAACCATCAGCACGGCTCCAATCACCGCCAATACCAACCCCAGCGTCGACACCGTCTTGCTGCTGGCGCCTCCTTGAGCCGCCGCCATGACGGTCGGCGTCGCAGCCGTTTCGCTGGCACTCTCAGCAACCGCCTCCATCTGCACGTGGCCGGTTTCAACGAAAGCGTGCGGCGCGTACGTGTAGCTGGCGGATTCGACCGCGGCGGAAGATGGGCTCACTTTCACGCTCGATGAGGGGCCTTGAATGGGAATCCGCGTGGGGTTGAAGATGATGGTGGTGGAGAAGATGGTGGTGGTTCTGCTGTCTGCGATGGAGGTGCTAGAAGCGGTACTGAAACTGGTGCTGGAAACAATGGATGAGCTGGTGGTGCTAGTGCTGCTGGTGCTGGTGCTGGTACTGGTAGGAGTAGCCGAGGTGCTGGTGCTGGTGCTAGTGCTGGTGCTAGTGCTGATGCTGGTGCTGGTGCTGGTGCTGGTGCTGGTGCTGCTGGTCGAGATACTCGAAGTGCTGGTGCTTTTGATGGTTGAGCTGCTGCTGGCCACAACACTGCTGACAGTGCTGCTGCCCCCAGACGAGCCCGCCTTGTCAAACACAACAATGTTCGCCGACTCGCCCTTAGGAACAGTGACCACGCAGAACGCGGCCCCTCCGGCGCCGATCGAGCTGGAGCCCGTCATCTCGTTGACTCCGTTCACATCCGGATCGATCTTGCAGGGAAGTCCATTGCAGCTGTCGCCCTCGCACTCGATCTCCACGCCAAAGTCGGGCACCACGTCGCGGAAGGGCGTCGTCAACTCCAGGTAGATCGGGTTCCATCCGATCTTCACGTACGTGTTGCCCGAGGCGTCGGTGTTGGCCCCGGCAACATAAGGCGACCAATTGCCGATGGGGCTCGACGAAGTTCCCCAGACACAGGCTGTGTCGGTGCTATAGCCGGGTGGGTTGATGTAGAAGCTGCTTCGGTCAGTGCATGCATCATCTTCGCTCAGACAAAGACTTACTGCGCCGCAGTCTCGAGCCAGTACTCGACATCCGGCACGGCGAGGGTCTCCAGCTCCTGCACCAAGGTGGGGATGAGCATGGCCTCGTTGCCCGGCAGGACGGTCTGACAGAACGAAACATGGCTGGAGCACTTGTTCTTCGCGCTCACCGCTCCGGTGCCGTCCTGGCAGTACGGCTTCTTCGGGAAGGGCTTCTGGATGTTGCCGTCCTCGTCGCAGTACAGACCGCCGTTCTATTGTAGGCCGTGATCAGTTTGGTGGTCCGTGCCACGGAGCTGGCGGGGACACCTACCATCGACAGCGGGAAAGTGTACGAGGTGGCCTCGGGGTCCCATTGCATGGAGACCTGCCCTGGCGGACAGGCGTACGGGCAGTATCCGCCGGGCGTACACTCCTGGTCTGGGCTCATGGCCCAGCCCCCGTTCAGCTCGCCCGGGGTGACGGCCACCAGGCCGGCGTCCGAGGGAAACTGACAGCTGCCGGTCTGCTTGGTCGCCTGGACGGCTCTTTCGACGGCCGCGTGGTGTCCATGACGGTGGGCATGACTGGCGGCCTCGACCCCGGCGATGAGAAGCCATGCAGCTGCGCTAATGGACTTCATGGCGTTCTACGGTGTTTGAAAAGGTGGTAAAGGACTGGATATTGTGACGTGACTCAGGGGGGGAGATGGGTATGGTTGCCGACTGGCGAGGGATCAGAAATCCTGATCCCGAAACGAAAGACTATGGTCAGTGGAGTGGAGTTTGAAGAAACGAGTGACTGAGGGATGAACACCTGGAGAAGAGAAGAAAGAGGAAAGAGGAGGGAAAGAAGAGGAAGAAGAGGAAGAGGAAGAGGAAGAGGAGGAAGGATGGAGACGTCTTAGACTAGGCAGAAGAACGAGGCCGGCGGGCCCAAGCTGCAAGCGCGGATCAACCATCCATGGCAGGCACAGGCGATGCAGATAAGTTAGTGCGGACAGTGCGGACAGTGCGGACAGTGCAGGCAAGGAAGGACTCGAGTCGGGGAAAGCTGGAGGAGTGGAGCGGGCTGGAGGCTGGAGGCTGGCAGGCTGGCAGGCTCAATTGAGATGCTGCATAATCCATCATGATGCTGGAGGCCGTTACCCAAAACGGCAAATCTCCTGGTCATATCTCGGTTCGCCAAGTCGCCAGCGCGAGAGTTGGTGTTTGTCTTTTCCTCGACTGAGTAAAGCGTCAGGGGGTCCATCTTTTTGGACTCTCCGGCAGTTCATGGCTTTATCCTGGATCCTGGATCCACTCGCCTTGTGGAGATTGGCCAGCACTCCCAGCAGGGTTCACTGCACTCACTGAGTGGGCAGTGGGCATTCCCCTTTCCATGTCGTATTCGTTTGTTCTGGTCGGTTGACTGCAGCCTACGGAGACTCCGTACATCCATCATGGATCCATGGTGTGATTGACTTTATTGGATATTGGATATCGAGTGATTGCTGCGCTGCCAGGGGAGTGAGTTTATGAGAATAAGGTAAAGTTTAACCTCTGTCATCCTCTTTTCATAAGGTACTACGGAGTACCGACTACCTACCGACAACCCCGCCCCCTTATCCGGCCTGCCCTCTTTACTACAAAGTATTCACTAACTACCACCACCAAGATAACGATCATCAATCTAGACTCGATCAACACCTGACTCTGACTCTGACTCTGACTCTGACTTCGACAATCATAGATAAAACCTTTGTCTTCCCGTCTCTCTACCTTGGTTAGCATGGCTGCAACCTCACCCGACTGGAAAAGGGGGACCAATGGCCACCCGCTAGTTCGGCCTGGTCAAGCAATAGTGCGTCTGTGCCCGCCCACTGCAAGCCAGCCCATTGCCCAAGCTTGGCTGCTGGCTGCAACTAACCACCGCTTGCCGCCCACTGGGCATTTCTTCTCGCGAGCCCGCACCGTTGAGCTTAGAGCTTGGAGCTTGGAGCTTGGAGCTCGGGGCTCGGGGCTCGGAACCCCCCTCCCCCCCTCCGCGCCATGCACCCCGGTTTTACTGCGGAGCGTCATGATTGAATTCATAATTGGATTCCTACGTCGTAGACGAACTACAACTTGATGAATTGATTGGCGCTTAAGTTCGAGAAACCGCGCTGGATAGATCGATGAGATGGTGAAACCTGGGAAAACGCCATGCCATTTGGAAAAGTCTGTCCCCCGATGCGCCGTTGATGCTGAACTACGCTACACTGTAATCGACCCAACCTAAATTCTATCGAGTAATACGTCCGCGGACTAGACGGCCCTGGCTACCGCCGCCGAGGCACCGCCATCGGCTCGAACCCATCGCTGTCGTCGTCGATTTCCTCGCTGGCCACGCGTGCGCCCCTCGTCCGCGTGCTTGGGGGAGCGCTGCTCTGCGAGCCCACGAAATTCAGCGTCGTCTGGGTTTGCTGTCGGGTTCTCGTCTGGCGCGTGCTCGTCCCGCCCGTGGCTCGGGTTGAAGCTGCGGACGGAGCGGCTGCGCGACGTTGGCTGGTGGTCGTAGTCTTTGTAGAGGTGGTAGCTGGAGGTGCCGCTGCTGCTGCTGCTGCCCGCCGTGTCCGAGTTGCAGGTTGTTTGACAAAGAGAGCCTGGGAGTCCTCGCCATCGTCATCTTCTTCGTGGATATCTGGCAGGCCGGATACCGCATCATCGTCGTCGTCGTCATCATCGTCAAGCATAATCACATCTTCTTCGTCGTCCTCATCCTCCGACACCGCGCGACGGCGGCGGCCTTTACCTGCAGCTGTCTTTGACGGTGTAGCTGCGGCCTTTTTCGCGGCCGTGGCTGTAGTTTTTGCCGTGGTGGTTTTCCGTGTACTCGTCGTAGCTGCGGCTCTCCCGCCGCGTCCCCGCCCCCTGCCTCGCGTGGTCGAGGATGCGCGGGTTGTCGTAGCAGCTGCAGACCCAGTACCGTCCTCCGCGGCGACGTCCGCGTTCGGATCCCCGCCCTCATTGTCCGAGTGGATCAGCGCGCCCGGCTGATCCTCCCACGAGCCATCGAACTCGCTGTCCCAGCCGTCGGGCTTGGGCTTGTACCGCCGCTTGCCGCCGCGGGCGTGGCGGCTGCGCTTGTTGACCCCGCGGGTGAACATATCCTCCATCTGCGTGCGATACCGCTCCATGGCCTTGTGCAACGAGCTCTGCGCCAGCTCCTCCGCCGCGTCGATCTCGTCGGTGTCGCGGTCCAGCGCCATGAGATGCTTGATTTGGCTCTCCAGGGACTCGTTGACAAACATCTCCAGCGCGTGCTTGTCGTCCTTGTCGATGAACTGCGCCACTGCGTCCCCGAAGGAGTTCTGCGGCAGGATGGTCAAGGACTGCGTGGCGAGGAAATCGCGCACCAGCTGCTCGACTTTGACGGTGTCGAGGGTCGCCAGGTGCGAGATGGCCGCCTCGTCGACGTCTGCGGTGGCGCCGTCCTTCCGCCGGGTGCCGCCGCCGGCCGTGTTCTTCTTCTTGCGGTGGAATTGCACTACGTCGTTGACGTTGGCGACGCGGCCGACGAAGCGGTTCGAGAACCGCTGCGGGTTCTCGCAGTCGTAGCTGCCGCCCTCCGGGGTGGAGATCTCCACGCGCAGGCGCACCAGCGGTAAGGGGATCTCGCGGGGTTGCTCGTCGTCCTCGT